GCAGAGGTCCCAAGATGTCAAAGGCGATACGTTCAAAAGGCGCCCCTACGTTGTAACGTTGCAGCTTGCCTCGGCTGCGTCTCTTCGGTCCTTTCCGACCTGCACAGGCATCGCTAGATCGGCACCACTTTTGCACGTCATCCTTTGCATTATTCCAGTAAAAGCGCTCACGAACTCTCTGCAAGGTCTTCATTATTCCAAAGTGACCTCCTGTAGGGCTGTTATGTATTTCTTTAAGGACATCATGAATCCGGGATCTTGGAAGTATCAGTTGCCATTGAAACGTCTTCCCATCATCCGATTCGAATTTCCGGTATAAGACACCGTTTCGAATGTGAAGTGAATCCCAGAATGCCCAGTATTGTTTTGTTGTAGGACTACAGATAGAAATGTCCTGCCAGATACGTTTGCTGTTTGATCAATCCATTAAATCAATTATGGGTTTAATGTCGCAGTCTTCCAGCTGGTTATTCCTGACTTCAGCATCACTCCACGGGTCTCAATCAGCCGATGTTAATGTTGTAATTTGTCTTGTGTCCAGAATCAGCAGCTCGTATTTCCCTTCCACCTTATAACAATATCGGCAGCTTTCTGGGCAAGGTCTTCTAGAAAGGGCGTCGGCGTTCCTGTGTGATGATCCCTTACGATGACGGATAGTGATGTCATATTCTTGGAGTCTCTGTATCCACCTGGCTATTTGACCATCAGGATTCTTGAAATTTAAAAGCCAGGCCAATGAGGCATGGTCTGTGCGGCGGAGGAATTTTCTGCCGTATAGATAATGATGGAAATGCTCTACAGCTTTAACTATGGCGAGCAACTCTTTCCTAGTGACACAGTAATTCCTCTCCAGTTTAGACAGGCACTTGCTCCAGTAAGCTACTACACGTTCTTGGCCGTCTATTTCTTGGGACAAAACAGCACCAACACTTTCATTGCTCGCGTCCGTGTCGAGAATAAATGGTCTGTCGAGCTGAGGATACGTCAGGATTGGAGCAGATGTTAAAGCCTCCTTTAAGTTGTTAAATGCATCCTCGCATTCTTTTGTCCACAAGAACTTTTGCTTGCTCTCTGTCAGCTTGTGAAGGGGTCTTGCGATGGAAGAAAAGTCCTTCACGAATCTCCTAGAGTAGGTGCAAAGCTGTAAGAAGCTTCTCAGCTGATGGACATTTTCGGGACATTTCCAGGATTTAACCACTGATACCTTTTCAGGATTTGTGCGCACACCTTCTGCAGAGATGACATATCACAGGTAAGTCACTTCCTTTCGGAACAATTTGCATTTAGCGGGACTCAGCTTCAGATTGGCTTCTTGGCTTCTTTCAGTTTCTGAAGCACCTTCCTAAGATTTTCTAAATGTTATTCAAAACTCTTTCCGACAATGATGATGTCGTCCAGGTATATCAGGCAGGCTTTGTAGGAAAGGCCTTTCAAAACAGTCTCCATAAGACGTTCGAATGTTGCCGGCACATTACACAGTTCAAACGTCATCACCTTGAATTGCCAAAGCCCTTGTCCTGTAGTAAATGCCATGTTTTCTCGGTCTTCAGGCTGTATTTCTACCTGCCAATACCCACTCTTTAAATCAAGTGTTGAGAACCACTTGCTTCCAGAAAGACTGTCTAGAATGTCATCAATTCTAGGAAGAGGGTAACTGTCTTTCTTCGTAACCTCATTCAACCGGCGATAGTCGAACGCAAAATCTTTTTGAGCCGTCTTTCTTTCTGACTAGGATGATGGGAGATGCCCATGGACTTGCTGAAGGCTCGATGACATCGCCTTCTTCCATATCCTTTAAAAGTGTTCATACCTCTTCCTGTTTAGCAAATGGTAGATGTCTTGCATGTTGCTTGATCAGGGGATGCTCGCCGGTATCGATTCTATGTTGTGTCAAACTAGTTCGACCCACGTCAGAAGACGAGCGGGAGAAAACAACATGAAAATCTTTAATGATGCGATCGGCAGCATTTTTCTCTTCATCGTTTAATTGTGCATTCTGAAGTAACTCCGATGTAATGCTCTCTGAAGGACACGGATTCTTGGGATGTTACTCTTTCTTTCAACGCTGGTTACTGGAGTACATGCTGCAACCACTTGACCTTTCTTAATAATTGTCACCTTCTCAGTTACATTGGTAATTCTCACCGGGATAACCGTTCTGGATAGGTCAACAAGTGTTGAGGCTACTAGTACTCCGTTTGGGCTATTAGTTATTGGGATATTCTATGATGCTGTAGTGGAAATTTCTGTTTTGGGCTATGGATCCAGGAAGTAAAATTTCTGTTCTTGCCGGTATTGTGATATTGTCTTGTGCTATGATTTTATGGACAGATTTAACTTTTTCTTCATTAACTCCAAATAACGCTGTGTCCTCAGATGTAGAATGCACTTCGTTATTTCTAAAGTCCAAGGAAAAATTGTATTTCCTTAGAAAGTCCAATCCGAGTATGCAAGAATCAGTGATCTCTGCTACATATGCCATGTGATGGTAAGCATCACTTCCAAATGTGATGTTAACATTTACTTTTCCGTCGATGTCGATCTTCTGACCGGACACAGTCCAGAGGGTAATGCAGGGCATCGTCCAGATAAGTTTGCTTCCCAGTTGTTGAGCCAAATCTTTTCGGATGATGGTAACATTGGCTCCTGTATCTATCGTAATATTACTGGGAACTCCATTGATATGTCCTATTATGAAAAGTCCATTACTGCCGCCTCTCCCTGCAGAAATCTGAAGCGCTTTAAACTGGGGCTTTTCATTATCTTTCAACCTCCGTCCCGCGAGATGGCCACTAATTAGTTTCCCTGCTGTTTGTTAGGAACGGTCTTAACATCCGTACCCTGGGGTGTTCTGCAGTTCAGTCGTATGTGTCCTTCAGCACCGCAGTTCCAGCACTTTACGGTCGGTTTTTTGTCACCAATATTCCGTCTCAAGGCATTCAGTTGTCTAGTTAAATCGTCTAGACGAGCAGTGACTTGATCCCCTGGCTCCTGGACTTGAGCAGCTCTGATTGGGTGGCGGGCTCTACGAGTGGCTTGCTTGGGCTGCCTCGAATTTCATGGCGTACACTAAAGCGCTTTTCAAATCTTTAACATCCGAGATTCGCAGTGCTTTCTGTATTTCAGGGTCTCGGGTGCCATCGATGAAATATTGCAGCAACAGGATTTCTCTTGTTTCTGTCGGGCATTCTGAAAAGGCGATGTGACAGCCTTTCAACATTCGTGGCGAGCTCCTGAAGTGTTTTGGTGGTCTTCTGCTGACGGGATTTTAGTTGAAGCCTGCTGTAGTCTTTTAAACACTTTTCTCCGAAGCGCAGCTACAATGTGCCAGATAGAGCTTCAAAGTCTAATCTCTGGTTTTCGGGAAGAATCTGCAGGATTTCCGCTGCTTCTGCTCTCAGGGAAACGGTGAGATGACAGGCCTTAGCTTGGGAATCCCATCTATTCTCATCCACAACTATAGAAAATTGGGTCTTGTACACTTGCCAGGATGTCTTCCCATCATATGTGGATAGCTTCAGAGATGGACGAGCAGGCATCGGTAGAAAACCATCCAGATTGCTCCCTGCTGTTACTACGAATTTCTTTAAATCATCAACTTCTTTCGTGACCGCAGAAACTCTATCATTAATTTGTTGTTCCATGGCAGAAACTCTCTCTTCTATTTCTTCTTTTACCAAAGAAACATTTTCTTCAATATTTCCAACTTTATTTTCTACTGCGTCAATTCTGCCTTCCATAACCTCGAATTTGTTTTCTATTACGCTGGTAATTTCTCTTTTCATCTCTTCTTGTCTTGCTACAATCTTTTCCTGTCCTGCTTCAATTTTGTCCTGATTAGATTTCATCTCTTTTTTCATTTCTTCTTTAAACAAGGCAAAGGCTGATATCAACTGCCTTAATTGCTCTTCCATCGCTCTTGTTATTGGCATTCAAATCCCACTTCTGACACCAAAAATTGTTGCGTGCACACGGGTTCGTTACGAAATAAATGCACAAATCCGATGAAAAATGAACAAATATTTATTATTATCACAACAAATACGCTTAAATTTCCTACAATATTCATGCAGTATTACAATATCTGACAGTAGTTATCTTCTAACTACTCAAACGTTCAAGAGAGCTTAATTCAAAACAGCTAAAGAAAGCTAATCCATGAATTCGCTACAGTCAACAAGAGCAGTTTTCTAAACAAACTCTTAAAACAACAACAAACTAAGTAACTACCACGAACTGAGAGGTTTTCCTCCTTTTATAAGATTTTAAAATTGTGCATGAGAATTTTCAAGTACTTTCTCGAAATTAAAAAGAGATATTTATTAAATGTTACATGTACACGCTCTTGTATTTTCAATTTTCCAGCTTAAGCTTTCTTTTAATATTCATTACGTGCTGCACTGCACGGGAAATAAAACCATTTAATTTACAATTCAACTAACATAAGCTATTTAAATACCAAATCCGTAACAATATCTTATAAGCTACAAGTACTGTGGATTTTGCAAATTATGTTTAAATATTCATGTTGTAAATAATGAAGATACCTGTAAAATTTATAAAATATGTAAGTGATGCCATCTCTTTTGGTAGGATGTTAGTGGAAGTTAGCTATCATGCACAATAACACATTTAAATTCCAAGTAAGGTGCAGACATTTATGAATTACTTTTGCGGAGAAAGAATTCATTAATTATCCAAATATATTCTCAAGAGATTAATGGTAGGATAAGAAGGGATAAAAGCTTAAATTCTCTCTGTTGATCCAAAATGGGACAAAATCTAGACTGATTTCTCTAATGTGCTTACTATAACTGAATATTAAGCATGCAACTAGAAGTTATTCGTTTTATTTTCTGTTGGGTACATACTATTTTTCTTAAAAGTTGCCAGCATGCACTTCCCATTCCCTGTTATTTTACATGCTTTGATCACTGTATATGTTGTGTTGTTTTGTCTATGTTACATCTTCTGTATGTAATGTGTCATTTAATTTTAAGTAATTAGAATAGAAGACTTGAGTGTACACTGGTAGTTGAACAATGGCTGCAAAGGATCTTTCAGGTTTTCCTGTACTTACATTTCCTCAAAGACCAGATTATGGATCTGAAGGATCAGCAATAAAATTAAGGGCTAATCATTTTCCCATCACACTGAAAGCTTGCAAATTGCATCATTATGATGTTACTATAACTCCAGATAAATGTCCCAGGAAAGTTAATAGGTAAGTAAATTTGTTTCAAATTTAAAGTATTTTTTGTTTCGTAGATTATCTATATATAAGTGCTACACTTTGTAAGATCATCAAATAATGAACTTTTAAAGAAATTCGTAGATAGATAGATATCTGTGCGGTAAAATATTGTTATGTGTATATGGGTGTATAATGTACTGGAACTAATGATAGTTTGATGACCTTTATCCCCCCCAAAAAAAACACTTAATAGTTCTGGAACTTTTCTCAAAAGTATTCATTTAGCTGTTTTCAGTATGACAGAGCACAGTCAACAGTTACTACTTCAAACTACTAAGAACATTAAACGCAGGACAGTATTAAAAAGCCTCAAATGTCTGAGCTTGCACAGGATCTCAATACTCTGAACTATATTGAAAACTGATGCTCTTCTTTGGTTTTATAGTTTTCACTCATCTGTCAAAAAATGTCCAATACCTTCAATTTGTCGAAATTGCTCAGAAGGCATACACAGTTACATAGGGATCAGACCAAAATGCTGTCAAATGGTCACCAAGTATGACAACAAAAATTAGTCACCAAAACCATCGCCAACTTGGTGCTGCCAAGATAGCCATTTACCTCAATGTCAAATGGACTAATCCCTTAATCTTATTTTTCCAGCAAAGCTTCGCATTCTTTGAGGCCTTCTGTGTTATATTATTCAAGAGATATTTCAATTTACATATAATTTCACAAAAATTATTTACATATATGCAAAACTTGTAACATTATTTTAAAATTTTAAAAAAGAATCTTTAAAGAAAAATAAATAAACGAAACATAATTTTCATTTGTTACATAACATGCAATTAGTATTCTTGGAACTTTATTGCAAAACAAAAATGCTTTAAAATTTATCTTTATAAAAACAAAATGGGGAATTGATTACTGTCTCGATATATTCATATTATATTAGGTTTGCCTGAAGAATTTAAGTTTAAAAATACATATACGGAGGCTGTTCACATATTTTTTGACAATTTTGCTTTGCTATAAAAACTTCCAACTAACTGCAAGTCATTTGATATGAACTAATGTCAATCCATGTCGTATGAATGTATATAAATGTGAAATAAATATATAGATTCTCTTGGATGAATTTGGAATCTGAAACCGTACAATTTTCAGTTCAATAAAACACAAACTTATTTTCTGTATTAATTTTAAAGGTGATCAGGCATAGACCCATCCATCTTCTTCAGAAGCAAAAGTCAGCGTTCTGTATTTATTTAAAATCAATATCAATTTAAGGGCACCTTTTCGTTTAATTTTAAAAGGACTGTTTGTGGTTCTTGTGTAATAGTTCAACGCCACCTGCTGTTACAAGTAAAACCAAAATATCCTTTATTTTATAATTATTTTTTGTAAACAATGTGAAATAAATAAATAAGTAAAATCTGCATTCCTGAGTATCATGTAAACTGTATTGTATGAAATCTGTAAACTGTATTGTATCTAATCTTAATTATGATAGACCTCTGAGATTATCTAACTAGGGAAGGAACTTCCTGAAGGTTTAGTTTGGTAGTGATTTTTTAAACTGAATAAGACTGGGTCATCAATTTATTAACTTTACTAATGTCCAAATGGAAGAATTTTAATGTTATAATTTATATAAAGCATTAATTGTTTATGTAGCAACTTATGAATTTTTTGTAATTCTGTCACTTTCTTACTAAGAATTTTTTTATGAAATGCTTTGTTTTTAAATTATTATTTATTTTTTATAAAGTATTTTTATTGTTTTTATAGACAGTATTTTTAATATGTTATTTGTGTAAAATCGTAACTTTATTCAGTACTATTCCGTTTTGAGGGCCGTAAAAAAATGGCAGCGAAAATGTATGCACAAAAGTGCCAAATCTAGCAAACGTGCACATTTAACAGAGCGCCAAATCTAGCATACGTACTGATTTCAGATTGCGTAAGTTTATATAGTTCTATATTTCTTAAGACGCCATTGAAATACTAGTTTAATTTTTAAATCCTTTTTTGATATCCTATGGATTTAACAATTTGAGAATTGCCCTTGACAAAAAGTTGGCAATAGAATTTTGGGTAAAGGGCAGAATCACCCACTGCTTGATGCATTTTTAAGAATTGCACATACTCGGTATCCATGTGCACATCGACCTATTTTCACTTATTTATCACATATCACTTATTTATCACTTATTTATCACAAAAAAATTCCTAGAATTGCACAAAAATGGCACTGCGCACACCCTTTATCTATGTACACATCAACCTATTTTCACTTTAAAAGTAAAAGAAAATTGACAAAAATCCAATTGTTTTTACCCTTGTAAAAAGCGGCAAATAGATAAGTGAGCGATTCTGCACTTTACTGAGAATATTTTCAAAGAAAAGGCATCGTTCATTATAGAAAATTACGTTTGAACAACCAATGAGATGAAATTATGCTTTATCGATACGTCGGTAGTGAAATAGCGATGCAGACATCCATTCAGTTATGTTTAGCAATTTCTATATAAATTATAATAATGATCCAAAATAGTTATTACTCTTATGCTTCCATTCAGTCATGTTTAGCCTTTTTCATGTAAATTATAATAAAAAAGTATTATGTGAAACTAACCTTTCATCTAAATTAAAACATCAATCTTAGGTAGTTATTTACTATTATACTTCCTTTCTTGCAGCAATTATTAGGGTTGCTGCAATTATTTTTGGCAGCATTGGCATCAACAATAGTTTGGCGATTGTTTTTATGGCCCTCGAAACCGAATAGTACCCTTTATTCTTTATGACTACTGTGAAATGATTAGTTACTTTAACAAAATTTTCTTGTGATTTTTCCAGAGAAATTATTAATACTATGTTATCAGCTTACACAAAAATATTTGGATCTCAAAAACCAGTCTTTGACGGACGAAAAAACATGTATGCAAGGAATTCGTTCCACATGCCTGGAAATAAGGTGATAACTTCCTGACTTCTAAATGGTTTTTTCTTTAAAAAATTTCTCTGAAGGGGGCTAATATTATAAATCAAACCTTTAAAATGTAAATTTGACTTTAATTCTTCTGACAAAGTAATTGCATTTGTAAATATGTATCCAATTTTTTTAATCATAAACCTTGCTACCTTCAAGTGATATCATCTAATGATTTTAAGAGAAAAATGTTTTAGTGTTTATGTATGACTTGTCATGTCGAAGTCCTTCTAAGTTGATTACTATCTAGGTATTGTAAATGCATGTAAACTAGAAATGGGTGGTTGGTTTAATAATTTCAATTATTTGCTTACTTTCATAGCTGTTGTTTCAGTTTGTAACTTATTGCAGCTTAAAAAAGCTGTGAGTTAAAGGACACAAGTTTCAAGACTATTTCACAAGTTTCTAAAATTCACTGTAGATGAAAGTAAGTTGAAATACAGCAGCCAAAATGAGCCCAGTCTTTCCTTGATTATAATAACTATAAACACAAATTCACTTGCTCAGTTCTGATCAATGTTTCATTGTTATTATGCTGGGATTTGATTGAAAATGCGATTTATATTTTTATGCCATTTTTGTACTGTAATAATACAGCTAGCATAGGTATAGCAGTATTGTTCAATTATCTTATGAATACAGTCAAAAGTCGTTAATCCGGAATGATCTATAATCTGGACCTCAAAGCTATAAACTTTCTGCGCATGCGTCAGCGCATATGGTTCACACATGCGCATGTATAACGGACGGTGTAAGCTAAGCTAAAATGATCTAATTATCTGTTTCAGTTAATGTTGCAGATTGTGTTGTTCCTTAATCTTCGAATTAGATCCGGCTTATTATTTTTTGCAGACTTTTAGAGCAATTTTATAAAAGTAAGCTTGAACTTTCGATTATGTCAAATAGAATTTCCCGATGTTGGAGCTGCCAGAGGATCTACAAAGCAAAAGTATGTTTCAATGTCCATCAAACAAAAAGTGGAATTGCTGCAAAAAATGGATAAAAGCATATCCTTTGTTTGTCTAACCATTCCGAAATCTGTTTATCAATTTCACGCTGCTCTGCGGGGGCGGGATGTCGCAATGCGCAATGAACTGGAAGTTGATCTGTCAGCACTATCCTTATCTTCAGGGCAGATGTTTTTATTTTATTCAGCTTATAATTCCTTAATTAAGACACAATAACACGCCGAATAAATACTAATTCAGAAGTCAAACAACAAAAATCAGCGTTATACCTACAAAATTTTCACAGGACTAGTTTCGATGGTTTTACCGAACCATCATCAGATTGCTGCTGAAGATGATGGTTCGGTAAAACCATCGAAACTAGTCCTGTGAAAATTTTGTAGGTATAACGCTGATTTTTGTTGTTTGACTTCTGAATTATAATTCCTTACTAAATGTAGTACTTCATCTCGGCGTATTCTGTCTTTGATATGATTTAAATCAAATTCCTCATCATTATAAATACCACGAGTACACATCAAATAGTTTTCTGGTTGCAATTTTCTAATTTCGACTATGCGTAATGTATGCTTTACGCATGCGTGCGTTGAAAGAAATAATAAAGTAAACAAATAAATATTAAGCTTTTTTTTTTTTTTTTTTTTGTAAATTTTGATACCCTTTAGATCATAATTGCTCTCTATTTCATAAATTACGGTTTCATATTTTTAATTTTATAATTTCTGCATGCCATCTTACCAGACTTAAACTGATGATCTATAATGCGGAAAAATCGATAATCCGGAATCCCCAAAGTCCCGACGAGTCCGGATTAAAGACTTTTGACTGTATTAGGCTAAAATTTCAGAATGCTTTTTCTTCAGAGAAAGTGCACTGCAAGTGAAGAATGTAGAGTAGAATACAAGTGCATGGCATTTTTACTTTATTTAGCATTGATAATGTGTTAATGTGTTATTTACTAATTAAAATTTATTTATGTATGTTTCATGAATTACATTTTTGTATTATCCAAAATTTCGCATAACTATAGTGGGACTTGAAATATATTATCCATAAACACTGCTGTATTTCTCCTATATTTTGTTATCTTCTATTTTCTCTTTTTAGTTTTAAATTGCTTTAAAAATATGAGTTTAATGGGATTTTAATTGTTTTCAGATGGATATAGAAGTTACTCTACCTGGAGAGGGAAAGGATCGTGTCTTTAAGGTTGTATTAAAGTATATCGATGAATTAGATTTGAGATTTTTGGATGAAGCTCTGAGTGCTCCTTGTGGATCTCAAATTCCTGTACCTAATGGAGCCATTCATGCCTTAGATGTTATCATGAGACATTTACCAAGCATGAAGTAAGTATATCACATTAATTTCTCTGTTAATTGGTTGTGGCAAAGCACTTCAGGGAGGGATGCCTTTCTGAAGGTCTTTCTAAGAAAAACTGCCACAAAATATCCATGCAGCCAACATATTCCATGTTCTTATACATTCAGCAACTTTTGAGTTATAATTTTAGCTTATACCGTCCGTTATACATAAAACGCGCACGCGAAAACGTATTCTTCGCTTGCGCACACGCATATGCACAGTCGTAAAGGTCTTACACGCATGCGTAAACGCCTATGCACATGTGTCAACGCGCCGCATGCGCAGAAAGTTTTTAGCTTTGAGATCCGGATTATGGGTGTCCGAATTAACGACTTTTGACTGTAATATTTAAAAATTCAATAATTCATGGAATAGTGTAGGTAGAGAGGTAACAATTAATACAATTTGAAATGACATGGGGCTTTATTGAAAGGGGGAAAAAAAGCCAAAATATGGCGCTAGGCAGCAAAATGTCAGTGATGCCACATAAGAACCGTGTATGAAATGAGCTGTAGTGAGAAAGGGAATCAAACCCTTCATGACTTTGCTACTTTTCTATCCTCACCTCTGGGTGTTGGTCACAGTGTGATGTGGATTTATCATATCAACCGTGATGGGACCTTTTTCTTCAGGAAATGCATGGTTCTGCTATTCAAACTGTCAGTGTGACAGGTGCAAGGCACACTAATATGTTACCAATTCAATTATTATAAAGAACATAGTCTTTGCTAAAAAATCAATTGTTATGCCAATTATTGCTTTCATTATCATATGAAGCACAGTCCGTTGGCCGATTTAAGCACTTTTTTTCCTTTCAATAAAACCCCATGACATTTCAAGCATGTGTGTAATTTTTTACCTCTATACTTATATTATTCAGTGAATTATTGAATTTGCAAATGTAATTGACTTTGGGGTCACCCTGTCTATTTATGAGCTACATTAAATATATTTATAAGTTTGCTACATAAACAGGGACTGGGTCCTGAAATTGAATGTAATGTATCCAGTAGTATAAATAATTTTAAAAGTGAAACTTTATTGGTTGTGTAATGCTAAAAATAATCAAAATCCATTAAAGTTCTGTTAATTAATTTTGGCACAAAGTCTGAAAAAAATCCAATTAATTTTGGCACAAAGTCTGAAAAAAATCCATGTCACTGACTACTTTGAAATTGTTCTATAAGGAAATTAAAAATAACAAGATACACTGATAAATTAAATATCAACTGTTATTATATAATACAGCTTTTATTAATCAAATATAAAAATTCTTATTACAATATTAGATATATGCAAACCCTTTAGCTAATCATAAAATGTAGTCATTTATAGTCAATAAAATATTTTTTTATCATAATTACAGTCATTTCAATCAAATTGTTCATTAATTGGTTATCAGAATAACAAAATTCAGGATAAAGGCAAATCCAAAATACACTGGTTATCATAAATTAAGGAAAAATCACAAAAATTTTGATAACTCCCTCAAAAATAAGCCAAACTGTGTAAAATATAAATATGTTGCCAAGTAAGAGTAGCTGAATAAAACTGCAATATGTAAATTAGTGGCACTGCACTTGGAATACGTCATCTGTGAGGAGAATAAAAGTCCATGTTTGAGAGCAAGCCCACATATTTCACTGTGATAGTAACATCAGAAATCTGAGATAGAGAATTCGTAACAATGACCTCCAGGCATCATTTGCCTGCAGAACTACGATGGAGAGCCATTGGGAGACTAAAGGCAAGATTAAGTCAAACAGAAGTGGCCAGATGGCTAAACGTGAATCCTTCTTTGGTTCATAGACTTTGGTGGCAATTTCAAACTACAGATTCGGCATATAGGAGGTTCAGTCAAGGACAGCCAACTGCTACAATGAGCTTTGAAGACCAATGTTTGACATTATGTGCACACAGGAATAGAACCGCTACTCCGACTTTTCTTAGATCCTCTCTTGCTGCAGCCACCGGAAGGTTGGTGTCAACGTCAACTGTGTGTAGAAGGCTTCAGGAAGGTTGTCTTATGTGAGGCGACCAGCCATTTGCGTGCCGACATCACGCCATAGGAGGGACCGTTGCAGTAGGCACGACAACATGTCTACTAGATGCGGGATCAGTGGAGGGTTATTCTCTTTACGGATGAGTCTAGGTTTAGTCTAGAAAGCGATAGTAGGCTTGATTTGATATGGAGAGAACCTGGAACCCGTTATCGTCCGTCAAACATCCGTTAAAGAGATGCATACGGAAGAGGCAGTTTCTGTGTTTGTGGTTGCATCTCTTTGGGTGGACGCACAGACCTCCATGTCTTTCCAACGGAAATTATGAATGCTCCAGTTTATAGAGATGACATCCTTGATGCTTATGTGTGCCCATGTGTTGGGGCAATAGGTGATGCTTTCCTGTTACAGGATGATAACGCAAGACCACACAGGGCTCGCATCGTAAATGATTATCTTCAACAGGAAACAATTATGTGCATTGAGTGGCTAGCTCGATTCCCGGACTTGAATCCTATCGAGCACGTTTGGGATGCTTTAGAGAGATGGCAAGCTGCTCTCAATCTGCCCCCTCAGACCCTTGTCGCCCTTGTAACTGCTTTGCAAGAGCAATGGCTCTCCCTATGGAACTGATAGACCACATAATTGAAAACATCACGCATTGCTGTATGTACTGTATTGCTTCTAGAGGCAACCATATTCCATATTGAAGGTACTTTTCCTATAGCAAACAGATTTCTTCGATTTGTTCATTTTATACATGTGCTAATTTCTATACTACCATATTTGTCTGGTAATTTATTTTTATGTTATTTGATACCTTACTATGTGTTGTATATTGTGGGTAAGTTTCATAAAATTCTACATGTAACTTTTTCAGTAATTGTGATTTTTGTGATTTTTCCTTAATTTATGATAACCAGTGTATATATCTACATGACTGTAAAATGCAGCATAATCTAATCGAAACTAAGTACAATATAAAGGGACTTTGGAAGTACTGGATTTTAGACTGTCAGTTTAAGCTGGTTAAATGACATGCAGAAGTTATAAAGTTAAAAATATGAAACAATGAAGTATGTATGACCTTAAAGAAATAAAATTTTGCTTATGAGAAAAACTCAATATTTGTTTGCTTTATTAGTACCAGAGATGCCATTAGTCTTAAATCTCACTTTTGTGTTCGAATTACTTTTCAGATTGTTGTTACGAAATATTATTGCCTTGTATTGTTTTAAAAAAAATTTAATAATGAAGAATCTGTATGTGTTCCTATTGCTTGCATTGTGGAAAAAACAACAGTATCTATAGCCACCAGACTTTTAATACATGTAATTCTCTATCTGGACATGTACACCACAAAAACCAAATTTTGAAATTCAGTTTTTTTTAATATTTATTTCATATTTTGTACAAATTTAATGAATTTTTTATTGACAGACTCAGGAATTTGGAAGTGATAAATTGCAGCATTGTTCTAAACAAAGCATTTTTATCTCCAGCATGCCAGATTATGGCCATTCAGGAAAATATAAGATATTCATTTTTCAGTTTTATTCAGCCAAAAATGAAAAACTTGGCTATTTGAAAGCAATGTGTTGCCACTGCCAAAGATAAAATACTTTTATTTTTTGCTCCCTAGCATGCCCATATTCAATAAAGCCTAAGATATTTATTTAACTTTTAGATTTAGTCTGGAAGATTATTGAGTAATAAACGGACAGATTTAACTCTTTGATGATCATCAATGAGGTCAGCTATCATTCCAGGTATGCATTGCAGTGGGTGTAAATGATCTAGTTTACATTACAAATTTGTAATTGACAGATATCGTACGTATTTGGAAAAAAAGAATTGCTTAATCTTGAAACTGCTAGAGAGTTAAAAGCAAAAAATAAAGAGTGCTTAAGAAATTTTTCTCCTCATCAACTCACTCAGCACTTCCTACCACAGTTGTTAGATGTCTGTAATTGTAGTCAAGCCTAATGTCAGGGCAAAAGTTTACCATACTGTTTGGTAATTACTAATATTTGGGAAAAAAAATTGTTTTGGACATCACTGTGTGAGTTCTTTCTCAAGCTGCCATTAGTTGATACACTTGTGGTGATGAAAGCAAAAAATGATTCTCTTGGTTTGCATCAGACTTATACATTATTCATTGAGTATAAAATCAGCAATAAATTTTTGTAGAATATTTCAGCTTGAGACGCTGAGCAAACATGCATATTTATGCTAATAACTGATTGTGTTTGTTCAACGTGGGGGGATTTCATTTAGTACCAAAGTAAAATTAAGAATTAGGACCCTGCACGTGCTTTATTGTGAAAATCTACCTGCATATGTAAAGCATCAAGCTAATGCTACTCTTAGAATTAGATTCTTTCTCTTTTTTCACAAAAATATTCTGAAGAAGAAACTACAGTTTTGGTATGTGGGAAAAATATCTGTATTACATTTCTAAATATATGCTGACGGGTCAAACCTGAAGACATATTGCATATAATTACAGCCACAAATTTGAGGCTGCAACATGTGAAAATTTTGCATTAATTTTGTTATGATCTGAAAAGCATGGTGCATATGCTCATTTTCTTTTCTGCACATGTGAATCATGTGGTGGTTCCAATAAGTAATTTAAAATGTTACTGTTGGAAGTGAAATCTGAACATGAAGGAATCAATTGGTGATTGTGAAATTGTTTTTCATCTTAGAATGGCCTTACAGATGGATGGCAAATAACAGATATTGCCTTGGAATCTGACATTGCTCATAGTATTGTTTCTTGGTTTTGAGTAACATTTCAAACAAATACTTTTCTATCAGCAAAAAAGGAGCTGCGGCATCACAGCTGGTCAAGTGACAAATCACTATAACTTGCGCTGCTATAGATTCTTGATAATTTCAAGAAACTGTAGCCAGAGGTTTGTAACTAGGAGTACTGTATACCCAAAAGATCTGTTGTTTGTATTCCACTGAGTTAACTGTTACATTCATTTTCAATGGGGTTGTTTACATTGCAGTCATACTGAGAATGAACTGGGCATTATGCTGTCTTCTTAAATAATAGTAGACTCTGTCTTTCATCTGACTGTAAGCAACAACTGATCTGATATGAGTATAGTATACAGATTTAAGGTAAATGCGCTAAAATATGTTAACAAGGAAAAATTTTCCAAAAATTTCTTTCCATATGCTAAAAATAGATTTTGTTGATGTTACTGATAGGCCCAAAGATTACATTTAGGGCTATTTGAACTAAGAATAACTGATTTGTTAGTCACATAAATTCAGAATCAGCACCAGGGCTCGTATGGCCGCACCGGGTCGCGGAATTTAAGACCCACTGAGATTGCATCAGGCAGTAAGATATCTAGCGCCAAACTTCAATAAGGCTTAAGTATATGTGGGAATTTATGTATTCAGAACTTTGATAATCCTTAAGCATGTGTAAGAAATAGACATAAGTATAATAAATAACTAAACTAATACAATTCAGGCTTAATTGTTTCACTGCGCTATAGAAGCAAGATAAAATTTAACGGAACAACTTGTTGTTAGTCACCAAGCTCATGATGCATAGCCAAATAATAGTAAATGACAACTAAATTTAATGATGACAGCCGCAAATTTTAAAGGTTTTCTTATATCGCAAGACAAAGGTGAAATTTTCCAAATAACGGATTTTGTAAAGAAATGTGGAGAAGCGGTAATAAATGAAGATGATATAGAATAAGTTTTTCATTGTGATGACAATGCTTCTCAATCATCAATCAATTAATGAATGGCAAAATCTGTAGTATGGTTCTAGATCCAGAAAATACTGCTACTGATAGTGAGGAAAGTGACAGAGAAGGTACTGAAAACGAAAAAAATTTCAATTGACAAGTTAGTCAGAATTTTCGACACAGAAATTACAGGACTTCAACAATATAACTAAACAAGAGATTATGTCTGTCTACAGAACTAAAGAGAAAGTATTAGCACAAAAAACGAAGCAACTTAAACAATTTACATTAAAAAATTGTTTAATAAGGTAAACAAATAAATATTAAGCTTTTTCGTAAAATTTTATACCATTTATATCATAAATACCTCATTATTTCGTAAATCACAATTTCATATTTTTAATGTTCATAATTTCTACATGCCATCTTACTAGATTTAAACTAATGATCTAATATCCAGAAAAATCCCAAATCCAGAATTGCCGAAGTCCCGACGAGTCTGGATTTCAGACTTTGTACTGTACCTTACATCCAGAAAGTATCCATGAAAGGGAATAATATGTTCCTTATAGCATAATGTTAGGGGCTAGTCTAATGGTCAATAAACTCTTATACTGCATTCTTTCACCTGTGACCATGACTTGTGCTCAGTATATTAATGAAATTCTGCTGTACTATATTCATCTTTGTTGTAGTGCTTTCAGTGATAAATTTCATTTCGTAGACCATAGCATGTCATATCTTCACACAGTTGCTGTAAATATCCATATACAAGAGGAAAAACTTCAAAATATTGAGAAACTCAATGCTAAAGAAGCTGAGACCTTCAAATTTTTTATCTATTATTTATTAGTCATTTTGCTTACTTTTCAATACTTTTTTTTTTCATATATGTAAGTTTAAAAAAAAATTTACTGCAAAAAGACAAAAAACTCATTTTGGTAAATACGACATTTTTTCTCTGTGTCTACATATCAGGGTACCTGTATTCTTTCTGGCAAGTGTATATGCTTTTTATGAAACATTGCCATTTGTGCATCTGTACATCACCATTGTGTTTCGTTCACTAGTGTATATGCTGAAAAATGTATAATAATAATTCAATTTCTCTTTGTATTCTAAATAAATTAAAATTCTAGCTATTATTTTTAACTATCCAACTTTAATATCCATTTATATATATTTTTGTGTTTGTACAGTTATCACTAAAAGTTTTCATTTTTTTTATTTTCTGAACTCTAGTTTTACACCAGTTGGTAGATCATTCTTTTCATCACCTGTTGGCTACTATCATCCTTTAGGGGGTGGTAGGGAAGTGTGGTTTGGATATCATCAAAGTGTTCGTCCCAGTCGATGGAAAATGATGCTTAACATTGATGGTGTGTTTATGCATTTTTAATTTTGTTAAAGATGTTTCAAATTTATGTTTGATTTATTTAGTTATTTTTATAGCACCATTTTTAGCAATTTCCAGAAATTTTTTTAAATGTGTTATTTAAAAGTAGTAATATGCTACATACCTTTGCTCTGAATACATAGTAATAGTTTTCTCTTTATTATAGTACTAGCAGCTTTGCTGCCAGCCTTCGTCTGGCTTTTAAATGTACCGGAAAAATGGCTGAAGGGAACACCAAACGTTAAATTAAAAAACTGCGTAGAATTTTACTCTGCAGAAGAACTTCATAAAAAAAAAGTTATTACGTATAAACTTATCTTAAAAACAGTGAAATTATCTTAAAAACAGTGAAATGAGCAATAAATAACATAAAAGAATACAAAAAACAAAAAGTTCTGAAAAGCAAAGTATAATTAATGATATTTTATCTTATATTTACAAGAGGAAAAAATTACAATGAAATAAGCTATATCCCTTAATACAAATATTAATTATCCTAATAAAAAAATTAACCAACTTTCCGTTGAAGGAAAAAAATCATGCAAAATTTTTCAGTATCTTACAAACAGTGAAATAAGCAAAATGTAACATGAAAGCAACTCAAAAAACGTAAAATTCCGTGCAAAATTTTACTTTTCAGAACAACTGTGTAAAAAAAATCAATAAAAATGTATTATATATATATATATATATATATATATATGACAATGAAATTTGCCAATCTCCTAAAAACAGTGATATAAGAAATACGATGAAAAATTGTTGCCAAACCCATATTTCTACAAGAATGAAACTATTCAAAATGATGCGATTTCATCAAAAATCTGTCAGCAACAATAAGACAGGAAAATTGTTGCCAAAATCACATTTTTAAAGATGTGAGATGTGAGAACTGTACTCGGAAGCTTCATTTAAAAATTGTTTTTAAAATATAAAATATTATCATTTTCCCCAAATTCTTTTTGTAAAAGCATTCACAAGGATGAAGTTTTAACGTGTCCAAAAGTCAAAGAAAAATAAACTGTACATTTTTAGAAAAAATCCCGTTGAAAAGGTGTTAAGCCCGCTTTGTTAAATAAATTCGCATTTAATCGATTTATTGAAACACAAAATTTATTTTAAGTTCGTAAAATAGCTAAGTGCCTATGTTTCATGACGATGTGAAAATGGAGTGTGTAGAGTAAAATCTCGCTTTCCTATAGCCCATTATGTCTCAAAATGACGCGATTTCATCACAAAACATAAAATTTAAAAAATTTGAATTCGAATTTCGAAAAAATCGCTTTGAGGTGCACTGGCTCTTGTCTAAATTCACCTATGTACCAAATTTCGTAACCGTGGGTTTATTATAGTTTAAGCGCAGTGCGAATGAAAGACACATACACACACAGACTCTTTCTTTTATTATATGTAGAGATTTTCCAATAATTTCATGTGAAAGGTATTTAAATTATCATCATTCTTCTTAAAAGGGTAATTAGTAAGAATTAAAGTTGGCCCAAATAAGAATTGAAGTTCTAAATAATTTTAACAGTTAGTTAAAGAAAGGGGGAGATAATTGGTGAAAGACCACAAAATATACTAGGTGTCTAATTGCTGATAATCGTCTCAAAGAAAGTTTTAAAAAATTTACTGGTCAAAATATAATGATATTGCTTTGGGGTGCATAAAGAGTATGTACTCATTCAGTTAGGCAAATTTTTTCCGAGTATTATTAAATTCTACTCTTTCCTTATAAACCCATTGTGGTAAACTAAAGCCTCACAATACTGGTAACTCACTTCTGATTCCATTTCTGGCAGATAGATGGGAATTACTGTATGAGGTTTTTATAATTTTCCTCTTATGTAACCTAAATATAGGCCAGTTTTCTACAGAAACATCCTTTTCCATAAGCAGATACTTTTAGCATCTTTTTACAATAATTAAGTGTCTAATAATTTTCTCATGCATTAATATGGAAACTTAAAGATCTTATGGTTTGGGTACCCTTTTGTTGTATTCTTTTGGGCATTTCTAGTTCATTTGCCAACGTTCCCAGTTCAGGTACCTGCAAAGACTTATTTGGGAACGCCAATAGCTTTTCTGTCACATCCCGTATTGTTTCCTCAGACATCTTTGGATGATCTCTGCAATGCACATTCTTAAATGTATTTGTCGTCTCTCTTTTCTTCACAGATTATTGACTGCAAGATGTTGCTGGACTTTTGTGTCCCAAATTGGTTTTGGGTGCATTGACATATCCAGCTATCCAGAAGGTACAAGCAAGAAAAATATGTTTTTGTATTGTGTACTAGTTCATTTTATATTGTGCACCAGTTGTGTAATGGTGCATATAAATACATCATAACAGTTTCATTAATTGCATAGAACTGTCTTATGCCAGACTAACATTTATAAGGTATTTCTCCCACTTTCTTAGCATGCCTTCGTAGTGTAGTGGTCTGTACGCTGTGCGCGTATTCCAGAGGTCCATAGTTCGATTCCTGGCAAGGATGTTGCTCATTTTTTCATCTTTCCTTCCTTTCAAAAAATACCTAATGTCTCTACACATTAATCATATATGAATCGCCTGACATCTGCTAGAGTGTGGTATATCTTGCGCTCTACAAAACCATTTATGCCTGATACAAATAAAGGTCTTTCTGTGGACAGTTCCATTGCTTTCTTACATTCTCCTGCTCATTCCCCTTAATTTTTTATCTTGTACTCTTATTTTTTTAAGGTTGCATAGAAAAACTGTGAAACCAATAACAAAATGGATGTATTGTAGAAGAATAATACATGCATATGGTGTTAGATAAATGTGCAAAATAATTTTGTGTCTTTTAATCTTATAAAAAATGTGTCATGTTAATAAGCAATAATTGTGGATAACCTTGTAAAGAAAATATAAATATTGAAAAAGAATGATCATAATGTACCAAGAAATATTTGGAGCCTAAAATTTGTCTGGTATTTTGTAAGCAATAATTTTTTTAAACTTTTGAAAAAACATATAACTTTTTTTAACTTTTATGAATATTATAAATATTATTTCTTTATATTATTTAGTATCTGCCACTGCATTTTATAGAAGTTTACCAGTTGTTGACTTTTTGGCTGAAGTTATTGAAGCTAAAGAACCTTTGACAAAACCTATCACTGATTCTCAAAGGGTCAAATTCACCAAGGAAATCAAAGGTTTAAAGATAGAAATAACACACTGCGGCACAATGAGAAGAAAATACAGAGTTTGCAATGTTACTAGACGTTCAGCACAAATGCAGGCGTATGTATTTTAATCTACTAATGAAATATTTTATTAAACTTAAATATTATGTATGTGATTATGATACATTTTTATGCATGTCTTTTGTAAAATATCTAGTACTGATACTTGTATGTTCTTAAAAGTTATAAGTATACTTGTAAGTAGCAAGAACTACAGACTAGAAAATCAGTGTACAGTCAAAAGTCGTTAATCCGGACTCGTCGGGACTTCGGCGATTCCGGATTATTGATTTTTCCGGATTATAGATCATCAGTTTAAATCTCGTAAGATGGCATGCAAAAATTCTAAAATTAAAAATATGAAACCGTAATTTATGAAATAAAGAACAATTATGATCTAAAGGGTATCAAAATTTGCAAAAAGCTTAATATTTATTTGTTTACTTTATTAAACATTTCTTTCAATGTAAGTTGTTTAAGTTTTGCTTTGTTTCATGTGATAATACTTTCTCTTTAATTCTATTAAACAGACATAATTTCTTGTTCAGTTACAAAGTTCCGCTGTTCAAGTCCTATAATTGCTGTGTCGAGAACACCGACTAATTTGTCAATCGAAATTTTTTCGTTTTCAATAACCTCTGTCACTTTCTTCGCTATCGGAAGCGAATTATAATGACGAGGAACTTGTTTTAAATCATATCAAAGACGGAGCATATCGAGATGAAATACTACATTTGGTAAGGAATTATAAGCCAAAAAAATTAAAACATCTGCGCTGAAGATAAGGATAGTGCTGACAGATCAACTTCCAATTCATTATGCGCCCGCCACGGCGATCCCCCCGCCGAGCAGCGTGAAATTGATAAACAGATTTCGGATTTCAAAACATACTTTCGCTTTAGATCCTTTACATATTAACAAATATATATTGGAAATTCTATTTGATATAATCGAAAGTTTAAGCTTACTTTTATAAAATTGCTCTTACAGTCTGCAAAAAATAATAAGCGGGATCCAATTCGAAAATTAAGGAACAACGCAATCATCAACATTAACTGAAATAGATAATTAGATAATTTTAGCTTATACGTCCATTATACATAAAACGCGCACGCGAAAATGTATTCTGCACTTGCGCACACTCATATGTGCAGTCGTAAAAGGTCTTACGCGCACGCGTAAACGCCTATGCGCATGTGTCAACGTGGCGCATGCGCAGAAAGTTTTTAGTTTTGAGGTCCGGATTATAGATCATTCCGAATTAACGACTTTTGACTGTATATATTTGAAATAAGGACTATTTTTCAAGATGAGCAAATGTGCCAGCTGTAAAAAATACATTAACTATATTCCAAAGAAATCATTCCGAAAACGTCAAGCTGTTGTTACCAGTATAGCCTAAACTAAGCATTGCCAAATGATATCTATAAATGGAAATGAATGACAGTTATTTATTCATATGTACAGAAAACATCACCAATATACAGTAGTATGTAGTATGTAATTTCTTTGTCATGAAAAGTCCTTTAAACTTTTTCTAGTATTATTTTATTTACATTTAAAATTTGTATGTGGGTACATTACTCTGACCCACTTGAAAACTAATCCTTTGTTTTTATATCTTTAAGTAATAAAATTATTTTAATTGAATTGAATGGACAAGAAATTTGTTTACATTTTTGTTCTTAAAAATTTAAATTATTTTCTTCTAATATAGGTTCCCTTTACAGTTAGATAGTGGTCAGACTGTTGAGTGCACTGTTGCAAAATATTTCCTTGATAAGTACCAACTTAAATTAAGGTGATGTTTAAAAAGATTATTTTATTTTGTATTTTTTTCCTCCTTTTTGAAAGATTTTAAAAAATGTTTTTGTTGTGTAAGTTTTATAAATTTTAATAGTTTCTCATGTGGTATAAATAGATGTCAAAAATGTAAATATAAATTTTGAAGTACTAGTGCTTTGCTTTATATGATTTAATAAGCAGATAGGTAACTAGTTTAGTTGTGTTTTAAGTTGCAATCCAGCAGGGGGGGAGGAATGGTAATTTGGCTCCAAAGGTAAGCTTTATTTATTTTTTCCCACTGTTAATCAGCTTTCATTTTGTTTTAACACATTTCATAACTAAAAACACTTACCAAACTAAATTCAGTATTTTTGCTTAAATAAAACAAATACTATGCCTTGAAAACTTTAATGGTAATTAAAAGAAGTATGTGAGTAAGTATCTAGAAATTCTTCATCATTTATTTATGTATCTCAAGCTATATTTAATCATAAATCATAATTTTATTTTGGCATTTGGGTCTTAATTTGTGATAAAATTTGCTCTTTAAGATATCTGAAATATCAAACATTTTAAGTGAATTTTTTAGGCTGTGTGAGTAATACGAAAATAATTCAGTTTACACAAAGGAAGTTCTAGATCTTTTCAGTCAACTCTGCTTCCTTTGTGTGAAATAGTGCCATTATTATAATGTTGTTAATAATGCTGCACTAATTAATGTTAATTGTTAGAATTCCTCCGTTGCATGACAGAAAAAATAAAAGTATTTTACATCTCAAAGAATAAATAGAATGAATGCACATGCAAAGTTCTCAATTTAAAATTTTTTAATTTTATCATTTTTTAAACATCCTTTAGATTTTTGTAATTCTTGTTTTATGGTTTACTTTTGTAAATTTGAATATATTATTTTATTAAACACAAATAAGAATAATGGAAATCAATAACTTTTTTTTAGCTATTTCTTGCTCAATTTTCCCCCTTTTGAAATTATTGAAAATCTTGTTATATTGATTCCATCATCGTTATGACAGAACAAAACACAAAAGTCTTCATTTTTTATTTTAGAGAATGATGAAATTATTAATGTATTCACTTTACCTTTAGTTTTGCTTTTTTTATTAATTACTTTTAGAAAAATATTAAATTCATATGATCTGTTAGTAAATAAACTATTAATATTCTTTCACGTTTTTCTCTTGGGGGGGGAATGGTAAATTCAGATGGTTTAAACAAATATTAGTTTTGTTCTTTATTAGTGGATTGAAATGATTATAGTAGTTGATTTTAATTTTCCCATTGCATTCTAAGTGTGAAGTCCCCCCTCTTTGTAATTATGTATGATGCAACCTCAGTTTCTATGATATATTCAGTAATATTTATTTCCCATTTCTATTGTCAAATTTAATAGAATAACAATGCATTTCTGTCCTTTATTTATGGGGCTATTACAAATAAAATATCTGAATAAACTGAGAAGGAAATAACTGAGTAACTATGCAATAATAAAGTAGTAATTTTTTTAGCAAAAATGTTTCATTGTATAGTTGTAACACAGTGCATTCAAACCTCAGGTATTGCTGCATCATTTACAGACTAACACAACAAAGAAAATTTCATAATTTTTTCCTCTGTATGCTTTATGTACAGAGTTAGCTTTTTGCAATACATATTGTAGCTTGTTAAGTATGCTACAGCATAGAGTCTAACAAAGATGATCTGCATGCTTTTATTAAAAAATACTTCATTTTTGAAAATGCTAACCATCGTTTAATCTGCATTTTATCTGTAGTAAATCTTTTGGAAACTGCTGTCCAGCTTCTTAAAATCCTGCTGTTGGTTCATAAACAGAGGTTTTTTTCCCCCCTTCTTTTTAACAGAGCCAAATCCTTAGCGGATAAGTAGGCCACATGTTTTTTTCTTGTATAATAAACCCTTATAAAATCCTTCATGAAGGTATTGTTTCTAAAATACGAGGGCATTTTGAAAAGTAAAGAAACACCGTACGCCAGAGGAAAAGAAAAGTTTTGGTGAGCAAGTTGGCAACACAGGTGTTAACCTTGAACCGTTAGGTTTCTCCTCGCTGAACCATTAGGTTTCTCCTCGCAGTCGTTCGGCATTTCAACGTTGATTCTGATTGGAGTAAGTTGTGTTTAAAATGCGCTGATTAAAAATCCCGCCAAATGCGAAGTGCCCTCCATCATAAGTTTTCTTCAAGCAAAAGGTCAGCGACCAGCAGATATTCATAAAGAAATTGTTTCTGTTTATGGGAACATTATGAATCGACAAAATATAACAAAATGGTGTCGTCATTTCTCTGAAGGTAGGATCGATGTTCATGACGAACAAAGACTAGGTTGGCCATCTGTCATCTCTGATGCCCTTCTTCAGAGAACAGAGGAAGCAATTCGTGCAAATAGACATCTCAAATTGAAAGAATTGCATCAGATCATACAGGAAGTGTCAATGACAACTCTTTATGAAGTTGTGACTGTCAAGTTAAGGTACAGGAAAATGTGTGCGTGTTGGATTCCAACAGGCGACAACCTTCTATGACTGTGGGATACAAAAGTTTGTGCACCGACTTAACAAATGTTTGGATAATGGGGGTGATTATGTCAAAAAATAATAAATAATCCAGTTAATAAGATGTAACTGACATTTTCTAAATAATTTTTTTTTTTTTTTTTTTTTAAGAATGCGAGCCATTGTATCTTTACTTTTCAAAATGCCCTCGTAGATGACTCTCACATACTATGCCATAATCTATTAACTAATCATTATTGGCCAGTTTTAATATAACATTATCCAATTTTTCTTGTCTAGGCAAGACATAACAAATTAGTCTGTCTGTAATTCAATCACTTGCTCATTATGAATTTAAATTCCCCTAACAATTATTGCCCAATTGATAGCTTGTATTCTTACAAAATTTTTACATCTTTGTTTTTCATATGAAATTTATTACATGAGCTGCAATATTATTCTTTTATGCAGGAATAGTATTTATATAATAATTTCTGTTATCGTAATGTTAGATGCCAGTTATATAAATTTCAAAATAAATTCAAGGTGAGTTGATTTTATGCTTATCTTTAGGTATCCTTTTCTTCCTTGCTTGCAAGTTGGACAAGAGCATAAGCATACGTATTTGCCTCTGGAAGTGAGTGTCTTCTAAGTACTCTCTCTGTGTCTCAGTTTTAAGGACTCTTAATTATTTTAATTTATGGCATGTTATATATATATATATAACATATATATATATATATATGTGTGTGTGTGTGTGTATTTTTTCTTCAAGGTTTGTAATATAGTTGCTGGTCAGCGATGTATGAAGAAGCTAACTGATACACAAACTTCTACCATGATTAAGGTACTTAAATGTATTTTATTTATTATTTTAACTCTTACTGATGTGCTAAAAGTTAAAAAGTCTATTTTCACATTATGGATATTTGGAATGGGATTTTATTTTGTATGTTTTGTTTGGTTGCATCTTAAAAAATTCTTCTGTAGTTATATTTGTCATTATCATGAATTTACTTTTATGTAGCTGGTTGATTGAGAAAAGTGTAAAATTCTTGTGCAAATTTCTGATTTCTTAGTTTTGTTTTTTGTGCTTTAATCTCTCAGAGAATGTATTGCACCAGTTGTCCAGTGGTAGTTTTTTTTTTTTTTTAATTATTATTATGTTTAAACAGTTGGCATTTTCCATGAATGCAATTACTACATAATAACAAATACTGAATTGTTTGCATTGATTACAGAAAAGAATTAGTCGTTTGGAAAAAAAAGGAAATTGCAGATAATTTTTAAATTTTGTTATGTATAGTTTAAAAATTTTTTAACATTTTTATCGATTTATCTTATAATAATTTCAATATATGCCATTTCTGATAATACCAGTTTGACTATAATATTTATTTATACCATGAGTCAAATGCTCTCTGATACACATGCATACATTTTTCAATCATTATTCATTCTGAAACTCATGGCAACTACAACGATGTGTCTTGTTGCTAATGCTACCTTGTATTGATAATGAGGTCATCCAGTGTGAGAGTAAACAGTCAATCTTTCATATTGGCTAGCAGATGTTGTTAGGCCATTCTTTCTGCAGTCACTAAGCAGTCTTTTTCAGTTGATAAGAGTTCTCAAGAATGCACAAACCTAGGCATGAGTCAAATACCCTGTATTTTGCGAAAGATAAGACTGTATAGGCAAGATGCTGGCTTATATTGTTCTATTGAAAAGTATGGAGACCCTGAAAATTTGAGTCAGCTGCAGGCATTAAAACTCAATAATATAATGTTGGCTAGTCAAAATATTGGATATCCGGACTGGATATAAATCAAATGCATACCCAATGAAACCTCACATCAGCAATCCATTTGCTAGACTGATATAATGATGAAAAATGCAAGCTTTCAACCTTCCTTTCCCTCATTGCTTGAGCACACAGATATAGCCCTCATGATGCTGTAAACAAAAGTGGGATTCATCATAAAAACATTCCTGTGCTGTAACATCATGAGAAAATGAAACAATGATCACTTTGTTGACAATTTCAGGCAATGCAGATGGTATTGTATTGTACATGCAATGCCATTTGCATTGTCTGAGACTTGCAATACTGGTGTACTTGTTTTGCAAGTCAGTAAGTATTTCGTTATGTATTTGTTCCATACTTAGATTTGCAATACCCTACTTGGTATTTTGCAATTCCTTGAACTCCATGACCCAGGATATGTGATGCAGCTTTATGTTCTCTAACAGTGATGTGGACAAGTTGTGTATCATTTTGAGCAGTTGTGAATAAGAATAATTGTGATTCCACACATCATGCTCTGTTGCCATCCTTGACCACCAATTGCAAATTGATGATGGTGACTGAATCTTAACCTGCCCAAGCAGCAGTTGCATGATCCAGTAATTTACATTCCTGGTAAATTATGATTCTCCCTTGATGGAATTGTGAAACGTGCTGGTTTGAGTTTCTCCTTCTTGCAGAAAGCTTAGGACAACATCCAGCACAAAAATTAATAAGTAAATGCAGTTTCTGAATGAAAAATCCAACATTATTATTTTATTTTAAAACTGTTTCAAGATGTTATTATCCTTGCTGTAATGTGTGTATGCCGTGAAATCCTGCTCATTTTTGTATCCAAATATGTTTTATTATTCAAGCAAATTTCAAGTTTATTGTGTGCCTCTTCACAATGTTGCAGTTTTAATGGCCATCAGTATATTTCATATGCTGTATATATATTACATACAAGTTAACATCTAAAGTCATGTTCATATTTTCTCAATGTAATATGTTTAGTATGGTGAATTTTACACGCTGAACCTCATTATCAAGAACATCAGCAGATCAATTTTAATTTTAACACAGTGTTGTTGCTAACATTCTGTTAAATTAAAAAATAAATTTGCATTAAATTTTAAGGTTTTATTGGTTAAGGATTATTTTCCTAGGATTTATGATACTCCGTAATCTTATTGGCTTATTTACTTGAAGTTTACAGCTCATATACAGTCAAAAGTCGTTAATTCGGACACCCATAATCCGGAATGATCTATAATCCGGACCTCAAAGCTAAAAACTTTCTGCACATGCGTCAGCGCATAATGGCAAACATGCGCATGTGCATAATACGTTTACACATGCGCGTTTAATGTATAACGGACGGTGTAAGCTAATCTAAAATTATCTAATTATCTATTTCAGTTAATGTTGTAGATTGTGTTGTTCCTTAATCTTCGAATTGGATCCGGCTTATTATTTTTCTGCAGACTGTTAGAGCAATTTTATAAAAGTAAGCTTGAACTTTCGATTATGTCAAATAGAGTTTCCCGATGTTGGAGCTGCCAGAGGATCTGCAAAGCAAAAGTATGTTTCAATGTCCATCAAACAAAAAGTGGAATTGCTGCAAAAAATGGATAAAAGCATATCCTTTGTTTGTCTAACCATTCCGAAATATGTTTATCAATTTCACGCTGCTCTGCGGGGGGAGGGAAACGACACGGCGGTGCGCAATGTGTTGGAAGTTGATCTGTCAGCACTATCCTTATCTTCAGGGCAGATGTTTTTGTTTTATTTGGCTTATAATTCTTTACTAAATGTAGTATTTCACCTCGATGTACTTGGTCTTTGATATGATTTCTCGTCATTATAATTTGCTTCCGATAGTGAAGAAAGTGACTCAGAGGTTATTGAAAACGAGAAAATTTCGATTGACAAATTAGTCGGTATTCTCGACACAGCAATTATAGGACTTGAACAGCGGAACTTTGTAACTAAACAAGAAATTATGTCTGTTTAATAGAATTAAAGAGAAAGTATTATCACATGAAACGAAGCAAATTAAACAACTTACATTGAAAGAAATGTTTAATAAAGTAAACAAATAAATATTTAGCTTTTCTTTTTGTAAATTTTGATACTCTTTAGATCATAATTGCTCTTTATTTCATAAATTACGATTTGATATTTTTAATTTTATGATTTCTGCATGCCATGTTACCAGATTTAAACTAATGATCTATAATTCGGAAAAATCGATAATCCGGAATCGCCGAAATCCCGACAAGTCCGGATTAACGACTTTTGACTGTAATTCCACATCTAAAATGCAAATTTTAAGGTTCATAAAATGGATAGTCCAACATGTGTGTTGGAAGAACATCACTTTTTAATAAATGTTGTTTTTCAGAAATTAAAGCTGAAATTTGAATGTATGAAAAAATTTTATAGGTTACTGCACGCTCTGCACCTAACAGGCAAGAAGATATCAGTAAATTGGTTCGTACAGATATATGTCTTTATTTTAAATTAAAGTTCATAATGAACTATTTTTTCTTATTACAATAACACTTTAATTATTTTATTGTATACAGGTTAAAAAAAATGACTATAGTGAAGATCCTTACATAAAAGAATTTGATCTTCACATATCAAACACAATGGTTGAAGTGAAAGGACGTGTCTTGCCACCTCCTAGACTGCAGTATGGAGGAAGGGTAATTATTTGTAATGAATTATATCTGGCATTCAGATAGGCACTAAAATACGTCATTTCTTGTAGTGTGCTTAATGTATGTGTCAAATAATACATTATAAATTATTTTAATTTTCACAAAATGGTACTAAAAATATGTCATTGCTTGCTTCTAGTTTGCTAAGTATATGTGTCATATAATACATTATGAATTATTTTAATTTTCACAAAACATACTTCTGCATGTTAAATGGCAAAATGTTTCTATTTTATATCAAAGTTTATGAATGTATTAAGTAATCTTTCCTCGTTGCTTTAATTTAATGAAATTTTGAATGTGGAGAACACAATTTTTGTTTATGGTATTTATTTTCATGTGTCATGTGATGTGTGCAAGTATGTCTGAATTTAATGCTTAAAAAATATCCTTACTGTAAAAAACTTCTTAGAATATACATTATGTGACAGTGAAAATGCAACACTATGAATGAATGCTCCAAATAATGTGCAGACGTCAGGGCAGACAGAGAACAAAGAGTTATGCAAAATGCATTGCATTCTCACTCAGGTGAAGCAAGAACTAATGAAAGGAATCTGCAGAATCGATTGCAGTCACAAAACATACTTCTGCATGTTAAATGGTGAAATCAGGCAAAGTAAAATGTTTTGAGAATTGTTTTTCTCTCACAAAGGATACACTAGTGTCCTGAGGCTTGAGTAGCTACCAGATGCATCAGCAGAAGGTCAACAGCCGGATGTCCTGTATTATCTGACAAGATAGCTTTGAATAATAAATAAGAAGCCATGAACACCCTCTTGTAACCCTAGTGTTATGCATCCTGGAGTATGGATGAGGTGAGCTGAGTGGGCAGGAGCTCTGTCATCTTGAAATCACGTGATCAGCCAAAATGGTTACGTAATCAATGGCAGTAACGAGACCTTGCACAGTAATGATGGGTCCCATGGAATACCACGGTATGGCTGCCCAAACCATAACCAAGCCTCTGCCATGTTTCACACTTGGCAGCAAACAGTCTCTATGATATGCTTGGTATGGCATTCACCAGGCGTAAACTCACCCAGATGTTCAAAACAATTTGGAGCAAGACTCATCTGACCTAATGACAATCTTCCATTGCTCTGCAGTCCATTTTTTTGTGATTTTGGCATCACTTTCTCCTCGTACAGGCATTTCAATCACTGAACAGTGGCTTTTGAACTGCAATTCTCCTCAAAATACCCTGTTTGTTTTGTATTGTTTGTGGGCTCAGTTTGTATTGTTTGTGTGCTGATAGGATTTGCAAGTGTGACATTTAGTTCAGCAGTCACTTTTGCAGCTGTAGCCCTCTTATTTTTCATCATGATCCTTTTCAACGATCATCTGTCATGATCAATCATTTTCATCTACTGTTATTTAGTGGGTGGCGTTTTTCTGTTTTTCCTGTATGTAAAGGATACTGTGCTTCTTGAAACACCAAACACTTCAGCTACCTTGATTACGGAAGTATCCACCATACAAGCCCCAACAATTTGCCCACGTTTGAATTCATTTAGCTCCAACATGTGCACAGAACACTGTCTTGATACCGAATAACACTTGCAACATATTGAGGATGTTGTACAGGTAGTGTTAGTGAGCAAACACATTACACCACCAACAGCTATTGCAAGAATAAATATCTCAGTACAAACATGCATTTTACAAGCTGTTTCCATATTTTATCCAACTTCTGTATCTTTTGTGAAGTGGCAACTCTATTATTTTTCAGAATAAAAAAAAAAATTAAAACGTTGTTCATTTTGTTCCTGTAAACAAGTTCTCTAGTCTTTAGGTAGCTGACAGTGTTTTTTTAAAAGATTATTTTTACATTCCCTTCATTGGAGACAACTGACCATTCTTAAGCATTAATTAAACAAAAATGGCAAACAATGATGTAAATAAAAGTTATGCTTCAACATGAGTCATCAATAGCGTTAGTATTACAGAGTTGCCAACTCTGTAATACTAACGCTATTGATTTAGGCGGGAGACTTCCGATTTTCGACCGCTTTCCCGCCAACCCGATTTACAATATATTTCTCCCGACTTTTTCTTATTCTTAATATTTCTCACGATTTTTATGGAACTTGGCTTAATACTTCGTTATATGAACAAAAAAAAAAAAGTGATTTTAGGCGTCTGAAAGCAATTGAATTTTCTCTAGATTATATCTAAAACAAAAGCTTGCAAATCAGATGAAATTCTTCTGCTTTGTTGAGTGAAGAGCATTATACGTATCCAGAAACGTCATTCTCCAGTTCTCCAATGGGCGTCGAGCTCCACTGCGTGTCAGTCTGGCATATATTAGCCAATGAGGACAAAGCAAATCAAGGCTGTTATGTGGATGTTCTTTAGTTATTTCGTTCATTTTGTCCTGAGTTTTGTGAGTACACATGCCTTAGGGAAATAGTGTTTAGAAATTATCATCTTTTGTTACATCTGCGAGGAAAAGGTGAAACACTCGTGTATGTTTCAACAATCGTACACAGTTGACTTTCCTTCCATTATTTCCTCAAGGAAATGTAATAAATTTGCGATTTTTCGATTTCGCATGGTGGAAGCGCAGATGTTCTGAAACATGTGCGTACACAAAAGCACAAGGACAACATGAGTTGTTTTGAAAAAAAAAAACGAAAAATTAAATTTTTTGTCGGAAACAAAGGACCAAAAAGTGATTAATGCAGAATGTCTGTTCTCTGCCTTTTTAATGGAGCACAACCTGCCACTGAACTGCATCGTATTCACGCTGCAGCTGTTATTTAGAAGAAATGTTTCCCGATAGTGAAATCGCTAAGAAATACTCAGTTGCAACTGACCAAAAGTAGGTGGAAGAACTGTTAAGTAAGATGACAAAAATGAAATTAAATCTTCATGTTATTGATTGCATTAAAACAGCTCTGTTCTGCCTCTCTATGGATGGAAGCAATAATACTGATTCAAAACTGTATCCAATTGTTTCTTTTTTTAATCCAGAGTCAACAATGAAGTGATTTTGCATGCTAAAGTTGCTGATGTTTCTGCTCTAGCAAATGCATCTTTTTTCTGATATAAGGTACTTTTTGAATGCATTTCCTGTGTTACTTCATTTAGTCATGAAAGATGATGATATTGATGTTGCCACTGACATACTGCAGTCGCAATTTTGCAGTTTACAATTAGAAAACTTGGATGAAGTTATAAAATCAGCTAGGTTTGACACCCAGTGGAGTTTAATTGGAAAACTGAAAGATGCTGATGGAATTTTAAAATATAGTGAACTGTCTAGAATTAGGTTGGCCATCTTTACAGTTCCCCATAGTAATGCGGAGTGCGAGAGGATTTTCAGTGTTGTTGCGAAAACGAGGACTAAATTTAGATCTAATATTAGTGATGACACATTAGAAAACTTTTATTAGCGAAAGCAGGCCTACGTGGCAATTGCTATGAACAAAATTATGAAGTTTCTTTCTTAATGAAAGCATAATCTGCCAGTGTTCATAACATTTGTACGAAAACTGATTAAAGTTTCTTTTTTTTAAAAAAAAAAAAGAAATGATGCAAGTAATAAAAGTGTTTTTTATGTGTAAGGTATTTTGTGTTGCTTGCATTTAAGACTTAGTAACTATTTAAAGTTAATTCATTATTGAAAACTATATTTTTATGATTTAAAAAGTCCTTTTAACATTGTGAAAAATCTGATTTTTGAGTGTCATAGGTTGGCAAGTATGGTATTAAAATTCCATCATTTTGGAAACTGGATCCAAAAGTATGGTTTCTGCAAGTGAAGGTGCTGTTTTGAAATGCTGCAATAATGGCAGATGAAATGAAATATGATTATGTAATCGGCTTAAAAATTATCACAAATGTCAGATATTTTGATTAATCCACCAAAAGATGACAAATATATTTCATTTAAAGACAGGCTCATTTCTGACTTTGTGGACATTAAAACTCAAAAGACTCAAAAACTATTAACTGAAATAGATTTGGGTGATAAAAAAAATCTTCCCAGCTATTATGTGCAATGAAGAATTTGGCTATTGATAAACTGAATGAACCTTTTCTTAAAACTCTGAGGCTTCAAAGTTTATCATTAGAAATGACAAGCATTTTATCACTCAGTGGTGATGTTTTTTCAAAAATGGCTGATAAAATATGGGAAATAAAGCAGTATCATATCGGAATGCTGCTGTTGCATGTTCCAGTGATGAAAATATTTTGGTTAAACCATGGAAGAAAATTTTAGAATTATCATTGCTAGTTAACGAGCTGAATAGAAAGCAGTCTGTTCATCAACAGTTTGGATCCCACTCTAGAAGCAATTCTAGTAGCAGGTGTAGTAATAGACATCACAGTACACTATGTTATTATCATTCGAGGTTCAGCAATAAGGCTTTTAGATGCATTAAATGTTGCAATTGGCTTAACAAGAACAACCATCAGTTGCGGGAAAACTAAATCTCTGGTTCTCGCAGATAAAAAAGAGTCGAGCAGTGGAGCTATGTTATTGTTTTATTGATGATAAAAAGACTGCCACCCAATTTTTAATTGATACTGATGCAGAGAATTTTGTGGTTCCACCATGGCGGGAAGAAAAGAGTTCTGTTGCCAAGTTTGAACTCTGCTTCAAATGGAAGCAAAATTAAAACTTACGCACAAAAGTTGTTAAAATTAGATTTGAGACTGAAGAGCATTTGATTCACTTTTTGTGATTGCAGCTATCATTAAACCAATAATAGGTATTGATTTTTTGTCTTATTTCCACCTTTTGGTTGACCGTAAAAATCATAAATTTATTGTTGGCATCATTTCTTTATACTCTATTGGTATTTCCTGCTAAATCAGCATGGAGTAATCAATAAGTACAAAATCAGTATGGAGCTATTCTTAAACAATTTTCTGGTCTATTACAACCAACCAGTGCAAGATTTACATATTAACTGCACAAGCTATAGCTTAGGGCCCTCACTTTCTTGGGGGAGGATCCCAAAAAAATTAAAATATAACAGACTTATAAAGGGCCCCATATCTCAAATAGCTTAGGACCTTAATCAAGTCTAAATCCGGCTCTGCAGCTAACACTTGTCAATAATAAAATTAAGAGTCACAACATTGAACATGTTATAGAAACCAAAGGAATGCAGTTGCCACTTGAGCTAGAAGACTTTCATCTGAAAAAATAAAAGCAGAATTCAATTTCATGTTACAAGGTCCCTTGAGACCTTTGAAAAGTTGTTGGGCCAGTCCTCTACATCTCACCTCAACTCTTTGAAAACTGAAGCTTCTCTAACTTGTATGCTTGAAATACCAAAGCGCCCAAAATGCCTTTCCAGATTCACATCAGTTCCCTCCCCACCCCATCATTAATACACAAAGAGTCATGAAGATTTAAAATGACATCCTTTCTGCTTTCTAATAAATAAAGTTAATAAACCACAAATAAATTTTTAGGACAAACTGTCTGCATTAAACTGATACGATACATTTGGGGAACCTGCACCTGCTGCTGCATACCTTAGGGGAAGGAAAGAAAAGAGCATCATAATATTGGCCATTTTGTGCTGTTGTGGTTGTTTAAATGAAGGGCCATCTGGGCCATTTTGGTCTTCAAAGAGTTGAAGAAATCAAGTGAATGAAGACTGTGTGAAGATCACAAAGGGCCCTTTAACCCAGATCACTATCCTGTACCATTTCTCACCAATTGTGGTTCCATTCTTCACAGAAAGAAAAAATTTTCATCCTTAGATTTAGTAAGAACTTATCAATAAATTTCAGTGCACAGAGCTGACATTCCAAAACCAGCCATTTTAACTCTTTGGCCTGTTTGAATTTCCTTTCATGGTTTTAATTTACGCAACGTGGAACAGACATTTCAACGATTCATGAATGTGGTATCATCAAGTCTAGATTTTGCATTCTGCTATTTAGACAACCTTTTCCTGATGAAAGGTCCACTGTGAGCACTTAACATAGTTTTTTTTTAAAGGTTAAATGACTATAGTTTATGTATCAATATTGCAAAAAGTATTTTTGGTACTTCGAAAATTAAATGTTTGTGTTACGAAATTTCAGCTGAAGGAATTAGACCTCTTTTGACAAAAGTTGATGCCATACAAAGCATACTTGAACACACATTAGCCACCAACTTGTGCAGGTTCTTAGAAATGGTTAACTTTTGTTACCTTTTCTTTCCAAATTGCACCAAACTTCAACGGCCTATAACCTCATTACTGAGCAGAAATAGCAAAATCAGCAAAAATACCTCTAACCTAGATCTAACGCATTCAGAAACCTCAAAAATGCTCTTTCTCATGCTGCTATGCTTGTCCATGCCTCATTTAACACTAATGTATTTTTCAAATGCGAATGCTCCTGCATTCGCATTTAAAATAAGGACTTTCATACATTAAAATGAACATGGAAAGATGCATCCATTAAGATTCTTCTCATGTTCCATAACTTGATACACATGATCGATAACAACAGTGCATATGACCAGAAACTTTTGTCCATGTACACTGCAATGAAGAATTTTAGATACATATTAAGAAAAGGATCTTTCATGATTTACATGGACCATAAATCTGTTACTTTTGCTTTTCAGCAAAATTTCCACAATGCCTCCTCTAAACAAGCAAGAAAGTTGAATTATGTTCCCAATAGTCAATGAATATTTGATGTGTCACGGGAGAAAAAAAATGTTGTAATCAGTGTTCTTTTCAGAATTAACATAATTTCTACACCGTCTCCAATTTATTATGTAGCTATAGCCGAATTTCAAGATGATGAAGGTTTAACAATATTGAAAAAGAATCCAAGGCTAAAAATGGTTCAGATTCTCATTTCTGCCACCAAGAAATTATCTATTTTGATGTCCTACCAACAGTAAGCACCCATACATTCCCTCAAATTTTTCTTGGCAGATTTTTTCCTCTACTCGTGGCACACCAGCGGCCGAGCGGTAAAGTAGCTGAACACTGGTAGTTCGGTCCGAATCCTGTGAATGGGCTGGCTGCATGGGTGTTTTCGTGGTTAACATGTATATATGAGCCAGTTTTCCTTAGAAAGTCCTCCACGAAGGCATTCCTCTCCTTAGGCAGATAGCCCTCGAGGCTTTGCTGTAATTAAATAACCTATCCTCTACTCATGCCCTATCACATCCAAGGATTAGAAGCACCAAGAAACTAATCATGCAAAGATTCATTTGGCAAAATATAAAGATTGTCGATTATGGTGTGAGGTATATCTGGAATGCCAATAATCAAAGACATACACAATCAGATCTAATGGACTTTCACTCAGACGTTTTCAACACATTCACATTGATATTGTTGGACCCTTTACCTACATACTAAAACTTCAGATATTTGCTAACGATGATTGATCATTTTTCAAGATGGTTTGAAGCACTTCCTATAATAGATCAAACAGCAGAAACAGTTGCAAAAGGATGATTTCGACTGAATATGTCATTTTGGAATACCTCGTCATATTGTATGTGAAGGATGATAGTTTGAAAGTGAACTTTTCTTATCATTGAGCAAATATTTTGGCTTTCAGATAAGTAGGACTACTACATACCATCCACAATTGAATGGATTAATTTAGCAGCAGTACAAAACTATAAAAGCTAGCTTGAAGTGCCATTTACAGCAGTATGGATTTTGAGTAGATGCTGTACCATTTGTTTTTTGGATTATGTGCTGCTGTGAAAAAAAGTATAGGATACTTTTCAGCTGAGATTCTTTATCGAAGTCCCCTCTGTTTACTTGTAGAGTTTGTTACAAAGATCCCTAATGTTACGCACATATTCAGATTTTGTTCAGAGGCTACAAAGTATCGTTCATGTCATGAAACCTTCTGTAATGACTACTCATGGCGTTTGTTTCCAATAACATAACCACTTCATCTTTACAACCAGTATATCTTGGTCCTTATGTTACTAAACACCAAGCACCAAATTACGTTCATATAGAAATTAATGGAACTGCCAAAAGAGTATCAGTTGATAGACTAAAACCATGGTTTATTCTAAATGACAACACAGAGCAATCATTGAAAATTTCCATGCCTAAGGATGATGCAGGCTCACCACCTCAGTGCAAATCTCTGGAGGGAACAATCCCTGTGCTATTACACCCAGTGAAAGAACTGCCAGGTTTCCACTTCATTTAAAAGAGAATGTTTCCTAATCGTTTTCGCTGGGAGTGTGTAGCCCCTCCTATGTTGTTTCTAAAAACTATTTATTTTTGTGAAGTGGCAGCTCCATAATTTTTCAGACTTTAAGAAAAATGAAAATAAAGGTGTTTTTCTTTTTTTTCCTGCTATCAAGTTCTCTAATTTGTATTTATTTAAACAGTTAAAAGGTAGTTAAAGGTTTTAAAAAAAAATTATTATTTCTTTCATGTTCTAGCCTGGATTTAAAACTGCAAAACACTTTTAACAGCAAGCAGTTTTTTTGCTTGACATATGTGTGACATACATTCCCTCAAATTTTACATGGTGGTCAACATTTTATATCCTGTTCACTGATATCCAGTTCTTCCTGTAGTACACCCAGATTTTAAATTTAAAAAAATACTTTTTGTTACTATATATATCAAATCCCTTGCATTGGGTTTTAAGATAAATATCAACATAAAAAGAATTATTAAAAATCCGTGAAAGCTGTTCTAAAAAATAGTTTTATAGTGTTTTCGTGAAAATAGCTTTACCATCTTTTCTGACCATCACAGCATAAAAATCACATTAAAATCATATACAGTACAAAGTCCGTAATACGGATGTCAATTATCCGGACCTCAAAGCCACAAACTTACGCATTCACGTAATGCATTTATGCATGCGCATAAAACGTTTACGCATGCGCGTTTGATGCACGCTTCCGCTACGCATGTGTGTAAAGCATTTACACATGCGCGCTTCTGATAGTAAAGAAAGTGACAGAGAACAAATTATTGAAAACGAAAGAATTTCGATTTACAAGTTAGTCGGTATTCTCGACACAGCAACTTGAACGGGACTTGAACATTGGAACTTTGTAACGGAACAAGAAATTATGTCTGTTTATAGAATTAAAGAGAAAGTATTAGCACAAAAAACAAAGCAACTTATACAATTTACATTGAAAGAAATGTTTAATAAAGTAAATAAATAAATATTAAGCCTTTTTTTTTTTTTTTTTTTTTGTGTGTGTGTGTAAATTTTGATACCCTTTAGATCATAATTGCTCTTTATTTCATAAATTATGGTTTCATATCTTTAATTGTATAATTTCTGCATGCCATCTTACCAGATTTAAATTGATGATCTATAATCTAGAAAAACCCCTAATCCGGAATCGCCGAAGTCCCGACGAGTCCAGATTAGGGACTTTGTACTGTATTGCAGATTATTTTATTTCTTACTTTGTGAAAAAAAGTTTTGTTTTATTCACTGCCCTCGGACTTGCACTCTGAATCCATCATAAAAGCTATTTTAACATGCAATAATAATTAAAGAAGGTGAAATTACAAAAATATATTACCCATTATTATCATAGAAATTGCCCAGTATTATCATAGAAAATTGCCCATTGTTAGCATAGAAAAGTAGGGGGCAAACAAGGAAACTCAGGTCTGTTTTATATAAAAATTTTGGCAACTCGTGGCCAGTATATTTATTTACCTTATGGCATAAAATTGGAATTAGTGTGTTTTATTTTATTACTTTATAACAGCTAATATTTGATAATTTTAATATCATTGTTTTTTATGTCTTTTAGACTAGAGAGCAAGCTATACCTCATCTGGGAGTGTGGGATATGCGTGGCAAGCAGTTTCATACTGGGATTGAAATCAAAGTGTGGGCAATAGCATGTTTTGCCTCTCATCGTTCATGCCAAGAGGATGCTTTGAAGTATTTTCATATTTTGAATTCTCTTTATATTGATAGCAAGAAATATCACATAATGATAGTTTTCTAACAGCTTCTTCATTTATGGTGATTGATTTTAATATTTAATTTAAAATGTATTATTTCCCGAAAAAGCAATAGCACTTCTGCTGTCTACTATGTCTAAATAACAAATTGGTCTTTTTTAAGATAGAAATAAATTAAAACTTTTTATTTAAAAATATTATTAATAAACATGTACCTTTCAAGAATTAATAAAAGAAAATTTTTTGTAGATCATTTATCCAGCAGCTTCAGAAGATAAGTAATGATGCTGGAATGCCCATATGTGGGCAGCCTTGCTTTTGCAAGTATGCAACAAATGCTGATCAAGTTGAACCCATGTTTAGGTACCTAATGAATCAGTTCAATGATTTGCAGCTTATAATTGTGGTGCTGCCAGGAAAGACTACAGTTTATGGTATGGTATATTGTGTACATATTAAAATTTAATGGATATTTGAATATTTAAAAAAAAGTGTTACAACCTTTTTTTTTTTTTTTTTTTTTTTTTTTTTTTTTCTGTTTATAACCTTTTGAGAAGAATCATAAAGTTCTTAAAATTTATCAATGTTATAGTTGCTGCACATCATATGTGGCGAGTCATACTGTTACAAAAAAAAAAAAAAAAGTAAAATAAGTTCTCTAACCTAGAAAAAGTGGTAGAATAATGATGAAATCAGTCAAGGTCATGAGCAAAGCAATAAGGAAAACAGAGAACTACTGCAGAATCAGTAACTCATGTATTACATCAAGAGCAGTCTAAATCCACTATAGGATAATATTGTGTAAGGTTGCCTAGGTTACATGCAGAAATGCTGCCTGCAATGAATGCATACAAATGTCTAATTCTGTCCAGAGAAAAGTTCACCAAATTCAATCTAAATTTGTGGCCAGGTGAGATGTAAATTTGTGACTAGACATTTTGCAAGGCCTGGAGAAAGGTGAAAAGGTGTCATTTGAATACAAGATAAGGTCTCACCACATGGGACTGTATGAAATGATTGCTTAAAAGTATTATAGTAATAATATCATGTTGTGTCATTTTCTGTTTGTGTGGAGTCATCTTTCTCTTGATTTAACACTGATAGTTTGGTTTGGTTTAGTTGATTTATGGCAAAGCATTTGAGGGCTATCAGCCTGTGGGGAGGACTTTCTATGGAAAAAACACTGCTCTGGTATTATTTAAACTCCAAGATATTCTATAATAATTCCATTACAGAAGTGGTTTAAAATTTTAAAAAAAGAAGAAAAAAGCACTGGGTATCTGAACTGATATGCATCATGCTGCTGGTTATAGTTCTTGATAGCAACATTGGATTTACCCAGCATTGGCAACTTTTGTAAGAAACTGAACTTTTTCACCCTGTTCCAATGCCTTTCATTCACTCAGAATCTCATGTTACTGTAAAGTTCTGGACTTCTTTTGGAAATTTTCATGATGTTCTTAACTATAATTATGATGTGTGTTCTGCTATTGTGGATGATATGCATATAAGCCTTATATCAGGCGTAAGTAAACTGCTGTTTGGAATCTCAAAATGTCCTCATATCAAAATAAATAATTATTTTATTTTTGAAATATTATTTTGATTTGAAACAAATTGTACTACAGCATGCTATTTTAAGAACTAACATGCTATACTAACAAGCTTAAAAATTTCATTCTTTCAAATGAAGTTTTATATACAATAATTTTAAAAAGTTTCAACTTTGTACCATTTCTGTCACTAACTTGGTAATTTATTATTTTTGGAATAGGAAACTGCAAAAAAGATAATGCATAAACTACAGCCTCCTTTAATAGCATACCTCATATCTTATGAAATGGCATAAAGAATATACTTAGTTATAACTTGTACTGGGAAAAATAAAGCTTACCTAATGATTTAGTTTTTATGTTGTTCCTCACTTTGATTGGCTCTGGTAGGTTTGCTTGAGGTGTGTGTGTGTGTATATACATACACACACCCCTCAAGTTGTTCGCTCGAAGTGTATTATGTATATGTATGTATATATACACTTTGAGCGAACCCTATATATATATATAATGAGCAGTAACGTTCCTGTCTGTTTTTTAAGGACTTAGGATCTTCCAAAATTTTAATTAATTCTGAGTAACATTAAAAAATTTTTTTTTGTTTGTGTGTGTACATACATACATACAACACTGAGGGTTTCATCATTTTTTTATGGTGTATAATGCAATATTGTGTGTTCAACAAATCTGTATTTGTTTGGTTTGTGACAATTTGAGCCTTGTGACATGGGACGTTGTCTTGCTGGAAGATTTCACTTCCAGTTGGGATGATAGACACCATGTGAGAGTGCAACTGATCCGCAGTTATGTTCAGATAATCCGCTGCTTTCATGGTCTGTTCTACCACAACTAAGGGTACACTGATAGTTTGGTTTGGTTTAGTTGATTTATGGCAAAGCATATGAGGGCTATCAGCCTGTGGGGAGGACTTTCTATGGAAAAAACACTGCTCTGGTATTATTTAAACTCCAAGATATTCTATAATAATTCCATTACAGAAGTGGTTTAAAATTTTAAAAAAAGAAGAAAAAAGCACTGGGTATCTGAACTGATATGCATCATGCTGCTGGTTATAGTTCTTGATAGCAACATTGGATTTACCCAGCATTGGCAACTTTTGTAAGAAACTGAACTTTTTCACCCTGTTCCAATGCCTTTCATTCACTCAGAATCTCATGTTACTGTAAAGTTCTGGACTTCTTTTGGAAATTTTCATGATGTTCTTAACTATAATTATGATGAGCCATCCATGAGAATGTCCCCCAAAGCATAATACTGCCACCACCCCTGTGTATCATCTGCTGAGGGGAGCAACTGTTCGTCTGGAAGATGGCATACCGGGACAGAACCATCAACATGTTTCTGTCCTGGTATGCCAACTTCCAGGCCTTGTTGGTTGAAAAAAGTTACTTCATCGGATGAATGAGAAATTATCATTTTTCCACTTATCCATGGTCAAATCTTGATGTTTCCCCACCCACTGTGGGCATAGGTGACAATGACGCTTGGTCAGCAGAGGCACATGAGTAGGACATTTGCTGCACAGTCCCATATTCACAATATCCACTGAACTGTATGTTCTAATACACTTGGATTGCATTGGGCTGTCAGCTAAACCAGCATCTGGTGCTGATTTTGGTATACCAAGTGGGACAGTTTCCAATGTTCTTTTCCTTTGATGACATGTGGATGGTCAACACCTTGGCATCTGCTGCTGATTTCACCATCATTTATCCATTTTTCATAAATGACAACAACAATAGATTGTGAGCAACCCACCAGTCATGCAGTTTTGGAGATACTCGTTCCAAATCTTCAGGTTATTGCAATCTGCCCTCTATCAAATTCACTTAAATCAGCAGGCTTTCCAATAACTTATAAGAGTATATACAAGAATGATTCCTTATCTTCTCCAGCAGCAGTTAAATACCATTTTCACTTAATCACATCACTTTCACATCATCTAGAACGAGTTCATTGACAAATGTAGGAATGGTCATTAGGTTTTTGCTTTTCAGATGTAGATGTATCAAAAGAAAAAGAAAATGGATCATCTGAAGAAAAATAAACTTTAAGGAGAGAATCAAACAACTATATGTAAAAGTTACAAAAATTGTTTGTGATGTTGCTATACACTGATACCAAGAAGATAATGATATGTACCAAGAAGATGATGATATGTACCAAGAAGCCTATCCAACTCTTCTTTTAGCTTATAAATAGTTGCTTTATGTTACCAATATCTTTAGTAATTTGTGAAAGGTCATTTTCAAAATTAAAATATGTGAAATATCGATTATGCAGTACTTGCTCAATTAAATTTAGAAGCATTTATTTTGGTGAAATATGGAACTGGTTCATTAAACCAAATAGAAAGTGATGATACAGTTAATGATTTAGCCAGAACATCAAGTCAACATTTTTTTTTTAAAATGTTGTTATATTAAAGAAGTTTCCTTCTTATTGAATTTTTTAATAATCTTTCGGCAAATTTTTGTACTGATATTTTAAAGTATTTAAAGAGTAATAATATATTTTATTTGTTTTCATTCTGTTATTGTGTGTTATATTGAATGCTTTATTGCGTAATATATTTTTTAATAAAACAAGTGATTGAGATACACTTATGTATTAATATATAACCTTTTTAAAATGTAAATTAAAAATTTAAATATTCTATTTTGTGTTACTGGAATATCACATGTATTGTATTAATATCTAGTGTCATCTTTAAATAATTTTTGTATTTGATATTTAATGTGCATTCAAAGCATTAAGTTTTGATTTTTTTAACTGCTTCTAATGAAATAAGGGGAATATTTTGTGATCACACTTATTATTCTAATCAAATGTTAATTAATATTGTTCATATTTTAATCATTTTTATTCTTTTAATTAACATATTATAATTACTTTTTAGTTATAAGCATTTTCAAGTTTTAAATTACAATAAATAAATTTCCCCCTTCTGGTCTGGATGATCTTACCTATGCTTGGCACATGTATATATATTTAGGATAATTTGTATGAAATATAATAATCTGCCATGTAGTGGTGAAGAAAAAAGTAACTTGTTACACAAACATTCCATCAAGCAACTGAGTTGTCAAAGAAAAAAAAAAAAAAAAAAAGATCTGATAAACTTTAATTATGTAGAAAAGCTAAGCTGTTATATTTATGCAAAAATGGTATTACGTTAACTGCTTGTTTTAAATGATTTTTGGATATTGATATATAGTTTTTCAGTAGAGTGTTATTGTAAATATCTTTGCTTCACTCTTTTTCAGTTTAAAATTAATTGACAGTTGTAATTAGAATAAGAAAAAAACTGAGAACTGGAGGAAAACTATGTAATTTACACTTACTAAAACAGGGTTCGTACAGTCATTAAGAGTCCTTAAAGCTGCGTTCAGACGTGGTCGTAAAGCGCATAGAGGCATAGCCATAAGGGCATAAAAAACGGGACATCCGTTCACACCTGCGAGACAGGGGCCTAAGCTGTGGCCAATGAGAGAAGCTAAATTTGCGCATGCGTGGATCTGTCTACACCTTTCGTGCGCTGTTTTCTAGCTCAATTGATTTCTCGCGCTCACTCTGCTCGTTTTCGTTATTTTGTATCATGGCCTTTTCAGCTCACCACAAAGTTTTACTGGTTCAACAGAATGCACTTTTATCTGCCCTTCTTGTAAGCCAAGACATAACAGAAGAAGGTAAAAAAAGAAAAATAACAAAATGGTCTAGATAAATTTTTTTGAAAGACCAATACTTGGTTGGCACATATATTTCTGTGCAAAGCAGTATGGAATATTTCTGCATTGTACTGTAGTACTCTCTATACTATAAACATGCACATGCATATTTATATATATAAAACCTTCTTCAATTTTTATATATAATTTCTCTTAGGAGAAATACGATATTCTAAATATGCCTAATTTAAAAAAAATCTTGAGGATAAGATCTGTATCTAATGCAGGTGTGAAAGCAGTTAAGCTAAAAACAGTACCTACCATACATTATTATTATTATTATTATTATTTTAAATTTTTAATCAAAAGGAACATGTTTCTATGACAGTGAAACATGTGTGCTTAGCACTCCTTATTCACTGCCCCTGTCGATCACTATAGTAGTTTGCTGCACTACCAGTATCAATTATCACTAGTACTAGTATCCCACAACTGGTCACAATGACCAGCAACCATAACTAGTAAGATACTAGGAAACGTTCACCCAACAATGTATTTTAAGCTCAATCATTAAATACATTTTGCTGTGTTGTATACATCTATTTCTAATAATTTGCATGTATAAGCCGCACCCCTGAATTTAATTTCAACATATGCTGTCATTTCTATTTATGACCAGATCTCAAAAGTAATTTCACATTGACAAATTTTAGGTACCCAAGTCTTCAAATACATCAAAATTATAAACATTCATACCTTATCCAGGAATTTCTACCAGAGAAATAGCATTAATTTAATGATCAAAATTCCATTCAAATGATAGTAATAAAGAGTGGATAATAATAATAAATACTATTCATTAAATTATAGTCTATGTTACGAATTATGTGTGCTATTCAGTTTCATTAAAAGTAAATTCCTTTCATGGAGAATGTAATTAAAAAACAGAACTTCAACAGGAGACAAAACTGCCTAGACTCTTGACTGTTTTAAGCATATTTCACTACATTTTTTCCTTCTTGGAATTCATAAGAGCACTTTCTCAAAAGATTAATCTTTTATTACTTATACAAAGCTTACACCATTGAATTGACTATTGTGACTATTCTTAAATAAGTGAAAATAATTTTTTCTTTTTTTCTTTAAAGTAATATTTTTACTGTTAAAAAAAAACAGCAGATTCTTGATATTGATTTGATGTTTTAGTAAAATTTATTAATGAAGTTTGGAAAGAAAATCAGCATTTGAAGCAAATACCAATACAATATTTCCAGCTTTTTCAATAAATTTATTCTTAAATACAAAAGTAATTAAACAGGAAAAAAATTATAGTAATAATTTTTTAAAAAAAATTATAGACAGAAAGAAAGTAATAATAATAATTTACACAGAAAAATAAAATGTTTGCAATCATGCATTTTTGTAAAGAATTTTCAAATAAAATGAAAAATATTGGATGGGATCAATCATCTACAGGATCATACACAGCGTGTATGATCCTGAGCTTAACTTTCGCCTTACGAGTTTCATCCATATTTTTCAGTATAAATTGAAAAACTCATTAAAAATGCATTAAAAATTCATTAAAAATGCATGTCATCATCGTAGATTTCTTGCGAGATCAACTCTTTATTTCGTTCGGATACAATTACAACTCATTATTTCGTTCGGATAGATTACAACTCATCCGGATACGATGTGTTCCATATTAAAAAAAACGTCACCTTCGATGTGACAGCGAAATCGTCTAAAGAAAGCTGCTTTGTTGTTGAGTTTTATGTTTTGTAGCTTTTAATGTGTAATTATCCTAATATTGTTTAAAAATCAATGTCATAAATTGCCTGTATTTTAAACTGTGAAATTTTATGAGATTGTGATATTAATAGGGTTTTTTTAAAAATATTATTAAAAAAATTAATTTAATTTAATAGTGGCCATGTAAATCCATAATGACTAAGGTTATCTAATACCTAATTTAATTATAGCTAAATGCATTCTCTTAAAATTTATCTCTCTATATTAAAGCAAGTTATTGCCTTTCGTTAACATGCTGATCCCAGCGTCGGTCCCTGGGAACCAGCACCGGAATTTTCGTTTGGCTGGCGTCGGTCGCCAGGACCGACAGTATTAAAGTTAAAAAATAAGTATAGTCTCAATGAAATGTCATCAAATGTAGTTTTAATGAAATTTATTGAAACATTCTAAACAAAACTACGGCTTAGCTTTACACATATTACAATACGAAACAACTATTTTGGTAACATTTTTGTCTATCTTGTATCCAAATGGTTTTGAATTGTCATCATAACATTTCAAACAATACTTTCGGACTTTATGTGCCTCTCCTTCCTTTTTGTATAATTTATGAATAATTTAAGTCAGCAATATTGCACTGCTTGATCGCAATATTGCCGTCGGTTGAACGGAAAGGACAGCAGATTCGGTGCTGGGCTCAACGTGTTAAACCTTTACCGTGGTCCCAAGGTAAAACACAAAAATATAAAAATTCATGCAAAACTTATTCTTTGCATCTAGTGAGACTTGATGCAAAACAACTTATCACTGCTAATGCTTTAGTGGCTTTTTAGGACCTTAAAGTATATTAACTGAGTTACAACCCCAGAAACTCTACATGAAGCTACGACACTAACAGCGTCAGAATCATGCTGATTATGATTTTAATGCTCATTTTAACCTATGCTGCTTGACATAAAATCTACTTACTAAATCTCTAGTCTGAGCAAGTATGTGACAAAATGAGACATTAAAAAAAAAAGTTAACTGTTAGTAAAACGTAACTAAAATATCACTTATCTTCTTTCAGATGTGTCCAGTTATTATGAGTGTAAAATATTTAATGCTACTTGATAAATTTCATAAAATTAATTTTATTCTCAAAATATTAATAATTATGTTAATTAAGTTATGTTTAATAATAATGTATCCCACTCACGTTCAAGCATAGATATAATATTTTTAATAGAATTTATTCAGTTTGCATTTGGTCATAGTCCTTAATTTTTTTCATCAATGGTTCTTAAAAGTCCTTAGTACTTAATTTCCTTGTGCAGAAATGTGTATGAACCCTGTAAAAGAAATATAATATAATAAGAATATATAATAACTTATATAAGAAATAAAATTACTTAATATAAGAAGAAAAATTACTATGTACATCATATACAAGTTTAAAACAGTTGTGGAAAACATACTTTTCTGAAGAATTATTTATATTTTTAACTACACAATTATAAAATGAACTATCATTGTTAAATTAGTTGACATATTTCTTTCCATTCAAAAACTATTTTAGTGCTTTTAAAATTATATAAATCTTTAGTTGCAGATTTTGGTAAATCTACTTGCAGCTCTTCAGGTTTCTTGAATTTTAACATGCAGTTCTTACTGAAAGTTTGGCCATTCCTGCTGTATGCCCTTTCACAAAAAATAAAATTTCCTCTTAATGGAATTTGTGAAGAAATGTGGAGAAGTGGTAATAAATGGAGATGATAAAACAGAAGTGTTCCATTGTGTGAGAATTTATTTCATCGGGACTCAGATAAGCGTTAAGCATATGCGGGAAATAGATGTAAGTATAATAAATAGGAAAACTTATATAGTTCAGGCTTAATTTCCTCAAGCGATGATAGGAGTAAGACTTATTTTAGCAGAACAACATGTCTTTAGTTGCCAGTGGTGTTTAGCGGATGCTCACGAAGATTTATGATGATAGCTACAAATGTGAAAGATTTTCGGTATCACAAACAAAAAGTGAAATTTTGCAGTTAATAGAATCTGTGAAGAAATGTGGAGGAGTGATAATAAATGAAGATGATATAGCAGAAGTGTTCCATTACGATGATAATGCCCTAATAATCAACTAACAGATGACAAATTCAATAGTATAGGTCCAAATGCAGAAAATTTTGCATCTGATCATGAAGAAAGTGATAGGGAGGTTGTTGAGAACAAACAAACAAAAAATTATTGACAATTTATTGGGAATTCTCAACACTGTAATTACAAGATTTTGTAACTGAACAAAAAATCATGCCTATCTGTAAAATTAAAGAGAAAGTATCAACACAAAAAATGAAGCAACTTAACTGTGGAAGAAATGTTTAATAAAACAAACAAATAAATAGCTAACTTTTTTTTTTTGTTGTAGGTTTTAATTCCCTAAGATTATACATGCTTCATTGTTTCATAAACAGCTATTGAGATTTTTAATTTTGTGATTTCTTCATGTCAACTTATTATTTAAACTAGTGATTTTAAAGTCTAGGAAGTTCCCAAATCCGGAATTGCCAAAGTCCTGATGAGTCCTTAGACTTTGTACCATATTATATTTGAATGCCTTGCCAAATCCAAACTTTTTAGCAATGTTTTCATAAATTATCTTTGATAATTATGTGGAAGTATTTTCACTATGGCCTGTAGAAAATAAAATTTCTGATCATACTGGCTATAACTTTTTAAAATTGAAATGAATCAAAAATTTCTAATTTGAAGTATTTTTGTAATTATGTAAATCATCATTTTATTGATTCATAAATAAATATATTTTAGTTTTTATTTTGGGCTAATTTATTGATTGTTCCTAGTTAAGTACACAATTATTAAACAATTTCTCATATTTGTATTATTAAATGCTGCCCATAAAATTCATATTAACTGAAAACAATTTTTATTTCAGTAGTCTAATACTGAAGCATTTTAATTTTATGTATTGTTATGGTTTGTACTTCAGTGTGTGTGTTTATATATACACACATATCTCTAAAAATCATTTGATACTTACTGCAGGTTTTTATTTTATCTTTTTTTAATTACCATTACAGCGGAAGTGAAACGTGTAGGAGATACTGTTTTGGGAATAGCCACTCAATGTGTACAGGCCAAAAATGTAAATAAAACTTCACCACAAACCCTGTCAAATTTATGTTTAAAGATCAATGTGAAACTTGGTGGTATTAACAGTATTCTTGTTCCAAGTATTAGGTTAGTATATGTAATATTAAATCCAGAAAATCCTGATTTGCTTTTATATATATGTATGTATGTAATTGATATTTACATTTAGTTTTTTCAGGGCAAAAGTTTGTAATGAACCCGTGATATTTTTTGGAGCTCACATACTTCATCCTCCTGCTGCTGATACCTGCAGGAAGCCAACTGTTGCTGCTGTAAGAAAATATTTAGACTGATTTTATTATTAATAGCCTTGTAAAATGTATTGCTACGAGTATGAGTAATATTTGCATGATGAAAAGTTCATTGTTACTGTTATCAGAACTGTATTAGTGTCACCATCAATAAGCTTAGAAAGACTTCATATTTTTTTTAAATGAAAGAGCTGTGAGAAATGGAAAAAAAAAAAAAATTGAACTAGAGTATTCTGAAAATTATATGTTATAATGCTTTATATTTGCAAATTTCTGAGAGCTCAGGGTGGTAGTTTTAAAAACTGAAATATTTGGAACCAAAGTATTGCCTTTACACATAAATTGATACCTTTAATGTTAAATTACCTGTAATACCATAAAAATATTTTTTATATGAGCGTATTTGTAGATTATTACTGATGCTCAGAAAAAATTACTTCTTTCCAAACTTGGCAGTACTGTGCTAACATTAGTAAAAGTATATTTGTATGTAACATTACTTAATTATGGATTAATATAAGGGATATATTTTCATTTATTATGGTAAATTGACATAAGAAATTTATGGTTATGAAATAGAAAAAAGAAATTTTGATTACAACAAAGCTGACATTTAAGGGGATTTTATGTGAAGGAAAGAAAAGTCAAATTTTTACTGTGAAATGTAGTACTGTGCTAAGATTAGTAAAAGTATATTGGTATGTAACATTACTTAATTGCAAGTTAATTTCAGACACATAGTTTCATTTACTTTTATGATAAATTAGCATAAGAAATTTCTGGTTATAAAATAGAAAAAAGAAAGTTTGAATATAACAAAGCTGACATTAAAGGGGATTTAAGTTTATATGAAGGTAAGAAAAGTCGAATTTTGGCTGTAAAATAAAAGAAGGTTCAGATTTGTCTGTAAAGCTATAATTTACTTTTATGATAAATTAGCATAAGAAATTTCTGGTTATAAAATAGAAAAAAGAAATTTTGAATATAACAAAGCTGACATTAAAGGGGATTTAAGTTTATATGAAGGTAAGAAAAGTCGAATTTTGACTGTAAAAAAGAAGGTTCAGATTTGTCTGTAAAGCTATAATCATTGTTTATTTTTCATATCTTGGCATATTTTAAAAGATCTATTTGAAAGCAATAAATGACCTGAACTTTTGCTTACATCCAGAAAAATCAGAAAAATTTCATGCTCATAAAATTCCCAGTATTTGACATTACCCCTGGCCAAGCAAAGAGGCAACAGCATAAAGAAGACAACAATTTTAAAAAAAAAAATTATGTGTGCTGAGCCAGGGCAAAGACAAGGTGAATGAGTTACTTCCCTCGAGTGAACATCTAGGAGAGGTTAGAAATCAGCTATTAAAAGTTAAAAGTTCATTTCAAAAAGAAAATTGTTTTTGCTAACTTTAGACTATGAAGCACATCAAAAAGTATAGTTTTAAAATGTTATGTTAAAATAATAAAATTTTGTTTGCCTTCTTTGTGTTGGTTAAAAATATATTCTTAACTTTACTTTCATTCTTACAACTGCTAATTTTCGTAAACTATCATTTGTCACCATCTTTTCAATCAAAATTCTACTTCTCATTTTAAGTTTGACACAGCATAATGACAAAATAATCATCAGCAAAACCTATTTAAATATGAACCAGTTGATTTACTTAATTACTTTCCTGCTCTCAAGTTCATTAAATGCACATTTTTTATTACAATTTTTCTTGAATCCAAGAAAGGAGTTAAGAAGAATTCAGAATCATAAATTTATTAGCTGAATTAAGAAAAGAATTAACATCATTAATTTATTCTGAAGAGTGCTGCACTTTCGCATTATTATATTCTTTTTTTTTTTTTTTTTTTTTTTTTTTTTTTTTTTTTTTTCCAAAGATTAAACTTACTATTGGAACTAATTGTAAGTTTCTGGATTGAAGTATCTCTAGGAAATTCCACTGCATGACAGGGGTACCTTTTGAACAGCAATAGCATTTTCCAAGCAGAAATTTACTGGGGAATTAAATTAAGCTTGAAGAACGGGAAAGTTTTCACCACAGCCAAGCAATAAGTACTCTTGGCTATCAAGAATCTAATGAACTTCTTGCCAATAGCACAGGATATTAATAAAATCCTAACCCAAAATGAAATCAACTGCACAATATTCTAGATAAAAGGTCACTTTGGCCACCAAGGAAATGAGAAGGATGTGAACTTGTAAAGCAAGCAACTCAAATGCAAATAGATTTATTTGTCAACATACCTTGGCTGTGCTGTCATCTAAAGTACAAATTGAAGAAAATAACACTGAAGTGCTGACAACAAGTATGGGATTCTGTGTCAGAAGTGAGTAGAACATGAGTTCTTTCAGAAAGAAACTACCAAGCTTCAACCCATTTCGTACTCAGTTTATAACAAGTCACGGTTCCTTCTCCACATTTTTCTCCTGCTAGTATTTGCACATGTGGGGAATGGACAGACCTAGACCACTATGTCTTTCAGTGTCCAGTGACCAAGTAATTCTGTACCTCTAAAATATTGCCTGGGCATCTAAATGACTTATCATTAAAATTCCAGTCTTAATTAAGAAAATTAACAGGACTTGTGTCAAGTAAGAACATTAAAAGCATTGTTAAAATGCTACTATAATTCTTAAATGAGATAAAGTTTTAGAATAATATTTACTACTGTAATTTATTTAATTTATTAATAATTGCATTAGGATTGTATTAATTATTTAAAATTATTTGTATTATGACAGTAAATGGCTGTAACTAGCACTGTCTTATGTACGAATAAATTTTAGGTATCACTATACAATTAAGAGCGAATTAATATATTCAATATACCATGGCAGCAATGTAAATATAATACAAAGTCCATAATCCGGACTCGTCGAGACTTCAGCGATTCCGAATTAGGGGTTTCTATGGATTATAGATCATTAATTTAAATCTGGTAAGATGGCATGCATAAATTATACAATTAAAAATATTAAACTGTAATTTATGAAATAAAGCAATTATGATCTAAAGGGTTTCAAAATTTGCACCAAAAAAAAAAAAAAAAAAAAAAAAACTTAATATTTATTTGTTTACTTTATTAAACATTTCTTTCAATGTAAGCTGTTTAAGTTGCTTCGTTTTTTGTGATAATACTTTAATTCTATAAACAGACATAATTTCTTGTTCAGTTACAAAGTTCCACTGTTCAAGTCCTGTAATTGCTGTGTCAATAATACCGACTAACTTGTCAATTGAAATTTTTTCAATTTCAATAACCTCTCTGTCACTTTCTGCACTATCAGAAGCGGTATGGCAGCTCCACAATTGCAAACTCTTTTTGACATAATCGAAGTTTCAAGCCTTATTTTTATAAAATTGCTCTAACAGTCTGCAAAAAATAATAAGCCGGATCCAATTAGAAGATTAAGGAACAGCGCAATCTGCAACATTAACTGAAATGCCTTAGAATAAGTAAAGATAATTTTAGCCTAGCTTATACCTTCCGTTAATTCGGACGCCCATAATCCGGACCTCAAAGCTAAAAGCTTTCTGCGCATGCGCCACATTGACACATGCGCATAGGCGTTTACGCGTGCACGTAAGACCTTTACGACTGCGCATATACGTGTGCACAAGCGCAGAATACATTTTCACATGCGTGTTTAATGTATAACGGATGGCTAATTATCTATTTCAGTTAATGTTGATGATTGCGTTGTTCCTTAAACTTCGAATTGGATCCCGCTTATTTTTTGCAGACTGTAAGAGCAATTTTATAAAAGTAAAACTTGAATTTCGATTATGTCAATAGAATTTCCGATGCTGGAGCTCCCAAAGGATCTACAAAACAAAGTATGTTTCAATGTCCATCAACAAAAAGTGGAATTGCTGCAAAAATGGATAAAGACATGAAGAGGTGACAGAGAGGTTATGAAAAAAATTTCTATTGACAAGTTAGTCGTATTCTCGGACAGCAATTACGACTTGACAGACTTGTAACTGAACAAGAATTATGTCTGTTTATAGAATTAAAGAGAAAGTATTATCAATAAAACGAAGCAACTTAAACACTTACAATTGAAAGAAATGTGTAATAAAGTAAACAAATAAATATTAAACTTTTTTTTTGTAAATTTTGATACCCTTTATATCATAATTGTTCTTTATTTCATAAATTACGTTTCATATTTTTAATTTTTAGATTTCTTGCTCATGCCATCTTACGAGATTTAAGCTGATGATCTATAATCCGGAAAAATCGATAATTCGGAATCGCCGAAGTCCCGACGAGTCCGGATTAACGACTTTTGACTGTACATTAAACGCACATGTGTGAAGCATACAAAAAAAAAGTTTGTGGCTTTGAGGTCCGAATTATAGATCATTCTGGATAATGGACGTCCGGATTACGGACTTTGTACTGTATAAGTAATTTAATCCTTTCTTAAACCAAATAAATATTAGAGCTGGTCATTCCTGAGGTGCCCACTGGATGCTGAAGATGGCACCTCTGCCATTTGCTGTGGACTTGCACATAGTTGGGCATCTGAAGTTCATGCTCATAGCAGCTGTTGGGTGACTGTGCTCAAGATGGCTAGTGGATACAGTCATTACCTTTTGGCTAATTAATGATGGACTGGTGCCTCTTTCATGTCTACTTGTACTTGCTAGAACTAATTATTGGCACATGTGTGGTAAAGAACTGCATAAACTGACTTTGCCCAGGAAACACTATGCTATCAGCATTAGTTATTCTGGTCGCTTGTTAGCAAACCGTGCGGCCATCTATTGAGCATAATATGAATCAGAATGCTGCAGTGTTGCAGTTCTAGCAGTCTTTCATAGTCTGAAGTTATTGCCATTCTGGCACTCTTTTCAGTTTGCCAACCTCCAACAATAGAAATTCTTCTGTTTTGTTCTTATTTTTAGCCATGGCTCACCCCTTTGTGAAATACATTGACCCTGTTGATATAGCAACCGGCATTCGTCAGATACCATGACGACGGTGGCTGTTCTGGAGACAGA